TGGGTATATATATACACCAATACTTTAGTGTATTTTTCAAACAACTAAAATTTTGTTTTCAATATTGTAGTACATGTGTTAAATCAAGTCACAAAAACCCAACTGCTACGGAAAATCATGCATTCCATGCAAAAGTTGACTTTTATGCAAGCCCCATGCATTTCACTACCCAAGAATGGGTACAAAACATGTGCGTTAACGGGATTCCATATGCATTGTTTAGCATTGTGCTGACCACAACCACTCAGAAAAACAACAAAATTACGCAATTATCCAACATTACGAAATGCCACGCCTGTCCGAAAGTGAGCGTCTGCGAGCCATTTGTATGCTTGAAGGAGGATCCAGTCAACGTGATGTTGCAAGACAATTTAACGTCCACAGAAACACCATTTGGTGTTTTTGGCAACGTTGGCAACAGACGAATGCAGTCAGAGACCATCTTTGGAGTAGCAGGCCACGCGTAACCAATAATCGACATGACAACTGGATTCGAACAAGACACCTACGAAATCGATTCCAGCCAGCAACAGTGACTGCAAGAAGTATCCCTGGCCTTCGACGAATATTTTCATAAACCGTAGGTCGTCGCCTCAGATGTGCAGGGATTGTCGCCAGTAGACCCGCCAGACGTCCCATTTTGATAGGAAACCACCGCCTAGCACGTCTACAGTGGTGCAGACAGCGTCTACGCTGGACGGCCATACAGTGGGGACAAGTTCTATTCACTGACGAGTCTCGTTTTCACCACAGCCACAGCGATGGACGGATTCGAGTGTACCGACGTCGAGGTGAACGTTACGTCAATCATTGTGTCATGGAAGAAGATCGGTTCGGGGGCAGCAGCGTTGTGGTATGGGGTGGGATTACAGCAAGACAGAGGACCCGTTTGATAGTGGTAGAAGGAAATCTCTATGGACAGCGATACCGCGATGAGATCATCGGCCCTGTTGTTCTACCGTTTTTTGCGTCGTCATGACCCAGGCATTACCCAGTCATTATCAACATGACAACTCCCGGCCTCCTATTGCTCGACTTGTTCAGGATTCTCTTCAACAAAACAACGTGAATGTCATCGAGCACATGTGGGATGAGATGGATCGGCGCCTTCGATGTCAACTACGTGTTCACCAGACACTCCAGGAACTTCGAAACATGCTCCAGCAGATATGGACAGATATCCCACAGGACTTTGTGCGGCGCCTTGTCCATTCCATGAGATGAAGGTGTGTTGCTTGCATCGCAACCAGAGTTGGACACACACGCTATTGATTTGTAAATTGACATTTTGGCATGTTCATGGTTTTTTTTTTTTATGAAGTCTTTTATGAGTCTCTTATCTGTTTGTTGCAAACCAAAATTGTTTCAGATTTGGTAAAAAACATAACTTTGCATTAAATCTTATACAATGTCACAGGAACTTTTGTTGTTCAGTATATAAATATATATAATCAGGGCGATATGGCGAGGGCCCTTATCAGCCATCATACAAAGTTTTAAATAGTCTCAAAATATTGCTGGCGATGTTGGATGGCTAGCCTTACAAGTTACTAGCCTGTTTCAAATTTCACGAGCTCTAATATGAAACAGCATCTATAATTCTTATCTCGCAGCCTCGATTCGTTACGGATATCAATCTAAGACTTAATGTCTTTTTTTATAGTCGTATTGATTGATCTACGGAAATGGGAGGACATTGATCAACTAAGAGCTGTGCAAAAAAGAAATCACCGTTAAAATGTCAGTAGCTAGTTGGGCTTGGGACATTTCAGAATCTTAAGCCTGGCCGAAATTTTGCTAGCCACGGGCTGTCTGTCGGGCAGGCGGCTCTTTCGCACCCTAACTAATTATATCTCGTGAAAAATTGTTTCCCATATATAAAAATACAAAATCCACTTATTATAAATATATTTTATAGCTCACTTGTAATTTTGTTGACTTTTAAAAAATATTTCCTGTTTCAACAGCAGCCTAAACGACCACATCAACTTCAGTCAGTCATGATGACATGCCAGTCTTGATGACGGTCTTCTTAGCGAGGTTGTGCGTATACAGTACCGTATGTTCGGATCCCAGCCATGACTCTGAAGACCAGTTGGTAATGTCGGATCCACGAGAATATCCGCAGTAGATAGGTGTAGTGCGTGAATTCCAGAGATTAATCTTTCAGAGCAGTCATCAGTTACCTGCCATTCGCGCAACGTGAACAGAATGTATATATATTTGTATGTATGGTGCAGCCTGTGGTATGAGGAAGGACTCGGAAGCCCCTTTCCTCGTTACCACTGAACAGGTTGCCTGCCTGCCTGGCGTAATGCGTGGATCCGAAACAGTTGCGTTCAACAAACACACGTCGTACCCAACCGACAACAAGCTGGCTTCGTACAACTGCGGTAGTGGATGATGATGGGAGGAGGGATGTTGTGTGTATTTACATATGTGTGTGTGTGTGTGTGTGTGTGTGTACGTACGTCTACGTTATTGCATGTGTGTCGTAAAATGATTTATTCATAGTTTTAAGTCCACATGCCCATAGTGTGTTGTTTAACGCCGCACTCAGCAATACTCCAGCTATAAGACGGTGGTCTGTAAATAATTGAGTCTGGATTTGTGACCTGTCCTAAATTTTAGTTTGTAATGATCTCCACTCCCATTTCCGAAATTCTTGAAACATGACTGTTTGGTGTTTTTGCCCGCTAACAAAAAAACCCCACCCTTTGTACCTACAATTGCTTTAAATATATATTGAAGCCACCCGCATATTGTCAACAACTTACAACTAATTAGAGGGTTGGGAAAATTAAATATATCACGTTCGTGTGATATATACGAATATATAGACGTAAATAAAAGAAATAATTTCAGATAAAAAAAACAACAATTAAATGATAGTTGCAGGAAATTATACCTGTATTTATTATATATTATATATATAATAAAATAAATATACATAACATTTTATTTAGCATATCGAGGAAGAACTTTCGGATCGTGTCGGGCTGTGCCGTGCAAAGATCGGATCTTCAGCCCAGTCGTCGTTGAAATGTAATAATATCGGATCGCTTGTAATTTCCGGATTTCGAGGATCTTCATGACAGCGTGAAGATTAATCTCGGAAATGTCCCACCTGAGGTTGCGAGAGAAACCGCTCACACTCACAACAGGTTAATATCGGATCGGACACGACGAGTACCGTTACGCTACATACTGACACACAGCCTCACGCCAGATAAACAACATCGCGGAGATGCATTAGCAATAATTTGCTTTCAGCTGGTTAACCGCGACTACTGATCCGAAATTAGCCTCTATAAGTATTATATAGCTACGTTGTAGGGTAAAATATAAAATCCGTAACTACGTCTTTTAATTTAAGATTTCAGGTTGATTTTATTGAAAGAAATGGTCTTAAAAATTCGTCTTATTTATATATATATATATGCACTTAACTATTTTCGAAAAACAGATATTTCAACTTATTTCCTTTTTTCCCCATGTTTAGAATTTGGATCGCAAATCAGTTCTCCGAAATTACATATACTTGGCAACCATTGAAACTAAATAAAATCATGTTTCCTGGAGTAAAAGGGCTGCACTGCAATAGTTATCGTGCGAAACTTCTTGTTTTATTGTCGTTTACGAATGAGCTTTACAGGTTGCAATGCTTGTCGTAAGAGGCGACTAACGGGATCGGGCGGTCAGGTTCGCTGACTTTGTTGATGCATGTCATCGTATCCCAATTGCGTGGAGCGATGCTCACGATGTCAATCACTGGATTGTCTGGTCCAGACTCGATATTTTTTACAGACCGCCGTCATATATAGCAGGACTATTTTGTTGGTTGCTGCGTCTAACAACAAAGAAAGAGAGAAAACGTTTTAAAATGATATAGGAAAAGGTAATGGGTCATTATCAGGGCGATTTGGCGATGGCAATAATCAGCCACCATACAAAGTTTAAAATAGTCTCAAAATATTGCTGGCTATGTTGGATAGCTAGCCTTACAAGTTACTAGCCGGTTTCAAATTTCACGAGCTTTAATATGAGGGAGCATATTTTCCCAGAAATTGATTCTGCGAAGGTATCAAAGTAAACTCAAATTGCAAATAATGAGTAATCAGAACATTGTACTGGTCGTTATTCAAGCAAACCACTGGCCCAAAAGAAATGTTGTAACATTTTTTTGCCAAGGAGGTAATTTATTTAACTTGGTTGGTTGTTTTGTTATTTAACGCCGCACTCAGCACTATTCCAGCTATATGACGGCGGTGTGTAAAAAGTTGAGTCTGGACCAGACAATCCAGTGATTGTTATCACGAGCATCGATCCACGCAATTGGGATCGATGACATGCTTCAACCAGAGACCATATTATATGGCCTCTGCTTCAACCAAGTCAGCGAGCCTGACCACCCAATCCCGTTAGTCGCCTCTTACGACAAGCACAGTCGCCTTTTACGGCAAGCATGGGTTGCTGAAGACCTATTCTACCCCGGCTCTTCAGGGGTCTATTTAACTTGGTGACTAGGTTGGGGGTGGGAATGGTTTTAGGACTATTACATTTTGCCTGCTGAATCCAATGACCAATTTACAATGATAAAGTGTTTATACATTTGAAGAATAATCATAAAACAAAAAGATTTTTTGAAGTTAAGATAACATTATATCCAGCTATGATTCGAAAATCGATAAGGACATACCTGTAAAAATAGTCAAGTTTAATTAAATAGAATAAAGAGCAGCCATTGATGTATAAGGTAAACCATGCGATATGTGTATTCCAGGATCTGTTAGCATATTCACGTTTGCACAGTGTGCATTTAAGTCGTATAAAACGGATAACTTCATCACGGCATCTATACCTGTCTACATGCTAATCCCCTTCAATTCCACAATCATTTCATTACATGTACAAAAAAGTGTAGATGATCTTTTATTTTTTATTCAGCCCGATGCCACCCAGTGCTCTCACGGAAACGACCGATAGTACCCGAGGCGGTCACATGGTATGGCAAGAAATATGGCAGCCAACCTGCCTTGCTTGTCCACAGGGCCAGGTTAAAACTGGCAAAGGCGCTTTTATTTTGCATCCCCAGGGTTTCATATACACAGAATGTGGAGGATATTTAACGGCATTCCCAGAGGTAAGAGTGACACGTTCAGATTGTAACCTGTAGTTCACGTAATATGAATGTTTTCATTCGGCAAAACAAGGATTCCCCTTGATCAAAAGTGATATTTGTTTTGATCCGTACGATCTTTGTGTGAAGACGAAATAGCCGTTCGGGTCATAGTGTCGATTTCCTTGGACTTTGGGGTGGTACCTGTGACCACCGAGGGTTGTGTTTTGGGGGGAAACTTTCTGAATCGAGTAATGACACTGATTCTAGCGTGAAGGTCATGTCCCAGTTGAAGGAAAGTCGGACATAAAATGACGCAACATGACGGCGCAGATCTATAAATAGCAACACGACATCACTTAGGGAATTCCCATTATCTTGATCGCTGATGCAAAGAAGAGATTTTCCTCTCTTCATATTTGTAAATAATCTTACTTAATGACAAAATATTTTGTATGATGTCAATCAATGGATTGTCTGGTCCAGGCTCGATTATTTACAGACTGCTGTCATATAGCTGGAATATTGCTGAGTGCTGCGTTAAACAACAAACAAACTTTAAATCTTAAGGATAGAAATGCAGTTATCCTCATATGTTTACGTCATTGAGTTTGCTTGTGGCTCCAAAATAAGGGGTTTGTCCTGTGTCCATGGTGTCTTGAGTAAGTAAATGCACTCATTTATTCTCCACATGCATTGTAAAAGTAGTGTTTCAGAGCAGGAAGGAAGAAAGTTTATTGTTGGTTCTAATAATAGTAACGACATTACAACTCATACGATCCTGTTCAGTGACCACTCATGTTTTGGGAGTGTTGCAATAAGCTTCATCTACACTAGATGGTCTATGACAGGTATATTTGCATATTCAGGATGTTAGATTCATTGAAAATTTGTACATTGAAATAATGCTTAAATATTAGTGATACAATTATGAAACCATATATTTACGATTAAAATGTTTTTTTCTAATTCCCTATTTCAGCAATCCGCCAGCATTTCCATGGTCCACGAGCAGCAACCGGAATCTGTAAGGAGGAGGAACAGCATGTGGAACATGAACTAGATCGTGTAGACAGCTGCTCCTGGTTTGAGCGCAGTCGTCGCTGTGTCAGCAGGTGAGGGGGAATTTCCAACATAATCAGTTTCATCTTCAGGAATTTATCCTGGATTCTAAACAAAGTACCCTTGCCTGGCTAATTGGCAAAAAGATAATTATTTTGTTCAAACTTGCAACCCATGCTTGCCGTAAAAGGCAACTTTGCTTGTTGTAAGAGGCGACTTAAGGGATCGGGTAGTCAGGCTCGCTGACTTGGTTGATGCATGTCATTGTATCCCAATTGCGTGGAGCGATGTTCATGATGTCAATCACTGAATTATCTGGTCCAGACTCGATTATTTACAGACTGCCGTCATATGGCTGAAATGTTGCTGAGTGCGTCGTTAAACAACAACCAACCAAACAAAACTAAGCCATAATTAGTTATAACTATATTAAGATGAACTGGGAAATTATAATTTTAATTTGGGAATTTTTACTGACATTGTAACATCGGGCTGAAAACTTGCCTCAGGACAGATCTAGATAAACCCCTGATCTGTGATTGATTTTAGTTGAAACCAAGGAATCAATCATGGTATCTCTGTTTGTTTACATGCTTAATCTTAGTGTATTTATTAGGGGCTGTAAAATAAGGTATTGTATGTAGAGAAATCAGAGTTTTGCTCGTACATGTATTACATGCTGTGATGTTTGAAGTTTCTGTTTCCATTCATGATTGATTATACATTTACAATCACTGGATTGTCCAACCAATTCTGAACCTGGACTTTTTAACCATCTCCTTAAGCTAGTTTCTATGACCAAGACAAGGACAAAGACAACATGGCCAATAACGTGGAAGAGGCATTAATGCTTATTTTTACATTATCGCAGTGAATGCAATGTTAAAATATGGAAAACATTTTTTTTTAAATCCCAATTTTGAACAAATGATTTTCCCTCAATTTACTTGCCGTAGACACCAAGTTTAAAATCCCTGGTTAATATTCTTTAATAGTTAAAATATGTTAAAATATCAGTCATGTAATTGATTTATTATATTCATAAATTTAAGTTAATGTTTCAAATTTCAGCCCACCTGAGAGTAAAGGTGACCAAGGTGAAGGTCAGGGCACAGATCGTGATAATGACTGGTGGAACAATATCCATCGGGATTGGTTTCCTTTCTGTGGGCGACACACAGCACTTGAGGCTGTCACATGGGTACGTGTTGCCCTGAACATGTATAGAAAAACAAGAATCAAGTACCAATTAATGTTTTCATCAAAAACTTGCTTTAGTTGTAGTCTTCTGAGTTCAGTATTGTGAATGTTTTTGAATGGCATTTAGGTCCAATATTTTTTACAGATTTTGATTGTGAAAATTTTGGTAAAAATATCTGAAAAAAATAAAATGCATTTGACGGGATTTTTTAAGCATCTTATTTGATTTTGGTCCGTAAACTCTTGGTCTGGTTTAGGTCCATCAGTTGCTCATTCCTGACCTGTTAAAGTTCCATAAAATCACTGTTTTTGTCTTGAAAACTCTTGATGGACACAGATCACATTTATTCCGATCAATTAAAATATATTATTGTGCAGATTTTTGAGAATTAACTGAAACTATTTACTTTGTGTTTACAAAAAATTACTGAAATGAAAAAACTGTCTCGTGCAGGGTGCAGCTGTTGTCCTGGGGATCCAGTTATCCCGTCCCCGATGGAGTGATGGGTGTATTCGCAGCCCCCTGTCCAGCAAAGGCCTCCCACCGCGGAGGCCAAGTCTGCTGTTCCAGGTGGCGTTTGCCCTCCCTGGGAAGACCACAACTGCACAGTCAGTGAAGCAAACCAGAGCCAGGCAGCTAGACACCACCGACCAGGTGAGGGGAGACAATATAGAATATTAGAGATAATAGAACATCAGCATAGTTTATCTTTCTATTATTAAGAGCAAATTACGACTTTGTCACTTTTTTAATATAAAAGTGTCCTTGTTTTATCTCGTTGCTTCATAGGTACTGCTTTGGCATTACATTCCAAAGTATTTCCCATACAAGAGTTTTACCTGTGAAATAGACCATAAACCGTATTCGACGTAATAAGCGCCCACGGCAATATTTGCTAATATATTGGCTAGTGAACAATCTCAATTAGCACCCCTTCCGATCAATGTACACAAGACTTATTTAATCGTGTATAATACGCACTCGTGTGTTATATGCACCCTTAATTATGGGCAATTAAATCCTGGAAAAATATATGTCGTATATAAACATTTCAGGTTGTCAGCATAAACCACGAAATTTACGAACTTTCAACTCTGTTTTTTGTCACCAAAAAATTATTCCAATAAGAGCCCCCTATTTCTAATTTCGAGAGCACCCTGGGCGCTTATTACGTCGAATACGGTACCCGTTAAATCTAACCCTGGACTGACCAACAGTACAACCACATCATTATCTTAAAATAGAAATGTTGACCATATCCCTATCTAGATTTAGGAATAAATGCTGTCTAAAACCGAATGATATCTTTCTGTGTTTGGTATTCCAAGAGGCTGGAAAGTTCTTCATCTATATTTAGCCAAGCTTGACCATTGGTTGATATGGGTCACATGATAGTTTATTGATAGGACCAGCAAAATATTGGATGTACGGGTACTTTTAAGTATTGCCGGTCCAGTGAACCAGTAAATTTGTAACCGAATCAAAACACTGATAGCAATACCCTAATGTAATATCGTTGTTGATTCTTATATTATCGTATTATTTGTATAATATTGTCCAAATATCAGTGTATTATATATACACATATCTGGTTTCTGTGATCTGAACACTTGATGTTTAGATATCATAGCTTTACCTCAACTTCTCTGACAAGGCAAGTACACTGATCAGCTGTGCACCTGTTTCAGCCTGTGAAGGAGGACGGGGCACTGAGTGATGTGCTGAAGGACTTTGAGGACATCTGTAAGAAGTATACCGCCCTGGGGAAGAGTGTACTGGGACTGAGGTTTGCCCAGGAGGGGGATATGTCGGAGGCTGTGAAACACATGGAGGAATCAAGCCGCCTCGGTCACGCCAGCGCTCAGTTCAATCTCGGACTCTGCTTCGAAATGGGCAAAGGTGTTGAGGTTGATCTAAAAAAGGTAACAAAAGCAGCAAAAAACATGTTACAGATGGTCTTCCTGTCTGGCAGACGAGTAACACGTGTACTTAATATGTCAAGATGGAATTTCCTTCCTGCACATGGCACCAATAGACTATGTTGACATGTCGTAACAGGCGACTTATGGGATTGATGTATGTCATTAGACTTGATGCATGTCATCGTATCCCAATTGCATAGATCGATGCTTATGTCAGTCCCTGGATTGTCTGGTCCAAACTTGATTATATACAGCAGAAATATTGCTGAGTGAGAAATCAATATCGTGATAGGACCCTTTACGACAATGATCCCATCTCAACTGACTTGAGTTAAGGACTGTCAGCAGCACAAAATGTCTACCTTTGTCACAAATCATCCTCTTATGGGCTACTTGAAATTTTAATTGCTGGTCCCCATATGGTTTAGAATAGGTCCTCAGCACCCTACGCTTGTCATACGAGGCAACTATATGGATTAGGTGGTCAAACTTGAAGACTTACTTGCTTGATACGGTGACATCATACCTTGATGTTATGGAGAGAGGCACATGATACCAATCACTGGATTGTCTGGTCTAGACCTGATTATATACAGGCCACAGTCAGACAGATGGAATATTGCTGTGTTCAGCATTAAACAAACAAACAACACAAATAGTAGTCAGGCATGCTAGTGGTGTAAAGAGTGCATTTTTTCATTACCGGTACTCGATTATCTCTCTGCTTGGTCTGTAATGTGTTGTGATATTTCCTGCATGCGAAACCTGTTTTGGGTGATATATACTGTTCCTGATAGTGAATGTAGCTGGATTGTGTTGCCAGGCTGCAGAGTACTACAGGATGGCTGGGGAGGACGGACATGCCAAGGCCTTGTATAACCTGGCGCTGCTGCACTTGAAGGGGGAGGGAGGGATGAAGAAGGACACGCCCACAGCCATGTTGCTGTTGGAACAGGCGGCTCAGTCAGGACTGACAGAGGTAAGAGAGTGGCACTCATTTATGGAGGAATTCTGATTGAGCATGGTCAATGTGACCTATTATAACCATGAAGATTTGGGGTAGAATAGGTCTTCAGCAACCCATGCTTGCCATAAAAGGCGACTACGCTTGTCGTAAGAGGCGAGTAACGGGATCGGGTGGTCAGGCTCGCTGACTTGGTTGAGGCATGTCATCGTATCCCAATTGCGTGGATCGATGCTCATGATGTTAATCACTGGATTGTCTGGTCCAGACTCGATTATTTAAAGACTGCCGTCATTAGCTGGAATATTGCTGAGTGCGGCTTTAAACAAACAAACAAACAAACAATGTGACCTGTGTGACTGATTGTGTGTCACCTTATACAGATATTCCCTGTGGGAAGTCCTCATTGGAGTAGGTCAGTAATCTCAGGCTTGACGTTAGAGACGACTACAATGGGGATTGGCTTCTCTGGCTCACTGATTGTGTCATTGTCCCCAAAGCTTGGCATCTTGCTCATCACACGGGGATGTTTGAATGTCAATTTTTCTGAATTCCCCCGGGGTCACGGGTGGCGCAGTCGTCTAAGGTTCGCTGTGCAGAGTTGCGTCCCTTGGGCACGCCAGAAACCTATGATTGTGGGTTCGAATCCCGGTTTGCCCCGATTATGTTTCTAGGTTTGTCAGCACCATACCCGTGCTCGTGGGTTTCACCGAAGTGGTAAACGTCTGAGACCTGCATCACTTCGGGCTTTCCTCCCACATTAAGCTGACACACCGCGATATAACTGGAATATTGTTAAAAGCGGTGTTAAACCCAACTCACTCACTCACTCTGAATTCCCCCAAACAAATTCAGATGGCTGTAGAGACTGTATTCTTACTTAAATGATTTTTAGATCACTTTACTAAAGGGCCTGTTTGTTCACCGTCCATCTTTAACATATTCTTTGTTGACATGTCTGCACTGTTGAACCTGAAAATTCACATGCTGGCTTTGTTCAAGAGGTTCTGATCTGATTTTCAGTACAGAGCTACAGATAAGCAGCATATTTGCGTAAAATACCCCCCAAAATATTCAAAACACAATTACTTTCAATTAACTTGCTTACAGAAATGCATGCATTAAATGAAAACCTCAAATGTATAAAAACAGCTTGCGTAAATACCCAATGAAACTTTTTCAGAATGTGTACAAAGGAGCTAATTTCCCGAACACAATTACGAGCTAATTTACTTTCTCAGTCAACCCTATATATACTACTCAAAAGAAGTTAAAGAACACCAGATATATAATACACGATTTAGCAAATTGGTCATGGCATTATGTGTTATAACATTACTATCATCTAATGTTTGGCAACATGTTGCACCACGTCTGGGGTATTGCTGATCCTCCTGACACTTTCTGGAAACCCTTCTGGTAGTCATGCAAATGAATTGAAAACATGAGCAAAACACAGGAATATTGTCGCCCAAACACAACGCTGCACCTGTCCTTAGCAACAACCAACACAATTTTCATGCTCAGCATATGAAAGTGGTGATGTTCATGGTGCATGTGCATGCTTTCCCTTTAAGAAGGCGATGATGATGATCGTGTTATCACACCTTCCAAAACCATGCCACAGAGACGACATCTGACTGATGTTGATAGAGGACGAGCTATTGGTTGGCTCCAGGATTGCCTTTCTTTACCTGAAGTGGGCAGAAGATTGCAGGTGTCCCCCTCTGTCATTCACACCTTTGGCATCGTTTTGCTGCCACTGGCGGAGTGCAAGAGCGACATCGTTCTGGACGGCCAAGGTGTACCTCACAACGTGATGACCGATACCTGGTTCTCCAAGCACTCAGGCAGCGTACATTAACAGCAAACAACCTCAGGTTACAGTTAAGGGCTGTCAATAACACTGTCGTTAGTGATCAGTCGGTGCGAAACCGTTTACGAGCTGCGCACTTGAGAAGTCGACGACAAGCAGTGAGACCACCTTTACGTCCAGTTCACAGAACAGCACGTCTGGCTTGGTGTCGACAACATGTGCGTTGGAACAGACAGCAATGGTCTCGTGTACTGTTTACAGACGAGTCGCGATTCTGTTTGCAGCTCAATGATGGAAGAATACGGGTGTGGCGTCGTACTGGAGAGAGATTCACTGATGCCACAGTACGTGAACGTGTCGCTTTTGGTGGGGGATCAGTGATGGTATGGGAAGGATTCAGTTGGAATCATAGGACTCCTCTGTACCATATTGTCGGGAATCTGAATGCTGCCAGGTACCGTGATGAGATTCTTGAACCCCTGGTATTGCCCACACTTCGTCAGATTGGTCAAGGTGCTATCCTTCAGGACGACAATGCAAGACCCCATCGCGCTCGGATTATCACTGACTATCACAGACAAAGGCAGATTACCGTTATGCAATGGCCTGCTTATTCGCCAGATCTGGCGCCCATTGAACATCTTTGGGATGCCTTGGGAAGAGCCGTTCAAGCTAACCACCCAACTCCTGTTAATCTCCAGCAACTGTTAGGATTTCTTCATCAGGAATAGCAAGCAATTCCACAGACAACACTGCGGCAGCTTGTTCGATCTATGCGTAGAAGATGTCAGAACTGTATTGCTTCCAGGGGTGGGCCTACCCGATATTGAAGGAACAGGATTATCCTGAACTGTAGTGTGTGACTTTTGATTTATAGGGTACATGCAATGCATATTGATTTGCTCTGGTCAGCTGTATGCCAGCGTTTCTTTCGTCAATGAAATGTCATGATTAAATAATTATCTTTCCCAATCAGTGTTGTTCCTGTGGCCACGATTTATTTTTGGAGTGATTTTGATAACTTATTTGGGTGTTCTTTAACTTCTTTTGAGTAGTATATTTAGAACAGTTATGTACATCCAAAACATAATTTCATTTTTTTTAAATCTTAAAATGTTCACTAATTTTTGGGAAAGCCCAATAGATGAGTGAAAAAATATTGGTTACTCAATGAAAAATGTAATAACCCCATTAAAATAGAAACCCTTGAGTAAAAACTCAACTGCTCAAAAAGTTATCTGGAGCTCTGCAATATGGCTGCTGTTATTACTTCAAATAGCTGCAGTTGTTTTATATTCGTGTGGAATTGCCATTATTTGATTTGGCTTGTCCCCAGGCCCAGACCTACATGGGTGTGTACTACACGGAGGAGGATGCTGTTATTACTTCATATAGCTGCAGTTGTTTTATATTCGTGTGGAATTGCCATTATTTGATTTGGCTTGTCCCCAGGCCCAGACCTACATGGGTGTGTACTACATGGAGGAGGATGCTGTTATTACTTCATATAGCTGCAGCTGTTTTATATTCGTGTGGAATTGCCATGATTTGATTTGGCTTGTCCCCAGGCCCAAACCTACATGGGTGTGTACTACATGGAGGAGGATGCTGTTATTACTTCATATAGCTGCAGCTGTTTTATATTCGTGTGGAATTGCCATGATTTGATTTGGCTTGTCCCCAGGCCCAGACCTACATGGGTGTGTACTACACGGAGGAGGAGCAGCAGGACATGAAGAAAGCAGTGAAATTCTTCACTCAGGCCGCGGAACAACACGTGAGTGCTGGCAAGATGGGAGAGTGTTGGGGAGGTGCTGGGGATTTATGACAAAACGACATGGGTTGGTGGTTGAAATAAAGATACAGTGATCTTATAGAAGAGTTGTACGTTTCATGGAATAAAGAAAACCATGTTTACCCTTTTCACGAACATCTGGTGTCATCACTGATTCTCTGTGATCCATTCATAACTTTTTCATCCCCATTTTCCTTTTGGAGTCTGTTTCGGCAATAATTCAGCGATAGAAATTGGCACTAGTCCTATGGTCCTTGCCAAACTGCCAAATAGTTAAGGTATCATAAGGACCAGTAGAAATGTGCCATTTTTAAGGTTTTGCGATATGTTATCATTATGAGGACTAGTTGACTAAAACTGTTAGTTTCTATTGCTGTAATTGAGGCAGATTTTTCTTTGGCATTGATGGGTTACATTTATGAGTCAAAGGGTAACCATGCCCATTCCTAGACTGACCTACTTTGATTTTGAAAACAAAAATCTGAAAATTTTAAATTCTTTGCACATTTCCTTTCCCTAAAAGATAACATCGAATATGTTGGAGTGAATGTTTTGGACACCATTCTATTGGACTAAGGATTCGTCTCTGAAAACATATAGTTTTGATAGAAACAAACAACTCCATTTAAATTGAGAAGGAGCCCCAGTGAGATGGGAGACCTGTGGAAAATCTAGACTTGCTTCATTTGGAGCTATAGCATTACAGCATTACAGTAAGGGATGGGTGGAAGGGAAAATTGGTTATTGGACTGTGAGACAGACAAACCATTCTCTCTGTGTTGCCAGGACCCTGAAGCCCAATACTTCCTGGCCATCTGTTACGAGCAGGGTTGGGGAGTGGAGGTGAACGAGTGCAAGGCGGCCCATCTGTACTCAATGTCGGCGCAGAGCGGCCATGATGGAGCCATGTACAACCTGGCGGTGTTCCACGAACACGGTCTTGGAGGTGGGTACTGTGTACCACTGTAGTACTTGCTCACTTCATATATTTTGACTTTCTGGGCCTTTTATGTAGTGGTGAACTTGTTTTGTGGAAGTAGTATTTGAATTTAGGAAAACATAGAGACTTATTTGCACTAATAGAATACATTTTATGTTTTAATCGTTATATTTTAATCGTTATGTTTTAATCTTGGAGTTACTTCCCATTGCATCAAGATTTTTTTAAGCGACTCTTTTTTCATGGAAAGTGTCCAATTCAGTTATGATGAAATTTCTAAATTCTAATTTCTAAATCTGTACAATAACAATATGGATTTCTACACCACAGTGCACTAGTATGAATGTTCTAATAGATATGAATTATGAGATGTCTGATACAATGAGCTAAGGTTTATAATAGTTTCCTACAACTTATCATCGTTTGCAGGGATTCCGAAGGATGGTATTTCTGCACTGTATCTGTACAAGAAGGCGGCTGCCCAGGGCAACGAGAGCGCCAAGTTCAAACTACAGGAGTGGCAGGCCCAGGCTGCTGTATGGGAGTGGAAAGGTGGGCTTGGGATTCTTTAACTGGCATGGTTTGCTTGATGATGTTAGAGATTTTATGAGTGCTTCAAATAGAGCTGATTTTTGCACATAGGAGTTGGGTGAATTAATGGAGGGGTTTATCTGAGCTTTCACAGAGGCCTTTATTTGGAACTGGGTATACGGCAAATGTTTAAAAAATAACCAAATTCGAATTAAAAATGTCCAATATCAGCCTGTTGGGGTTACCATGATAATAAGTAATGTTTTAACTTTGCAACAGGGACTTATGTTAACTGATAACAGGACAATAATGAGAGGATAATTTGTAGTGGAAAATAAAGACTTTTAAAGATTTCTCAAATATTGACCCAATTTATTTCCCTTTTTGCCTTCCCTGAGTACTTAGTTTACAACATGGACACTCCTTCATAAATCCCTAGGTAATGACAATAAGGGTTATCACATGCGTCATACAGGCTCCAGTATCTGCACCAAATCTTGGTAAAAGTGTAAAGAAAGATGTTGTCATTACTTGTCTTTGGGTGTAAATTGTATTGTGTCATAATTAGTATTTAGCATTTATTTACAGTTCGCATTAGGACTTGTGTTCCAGGTACAAAAAAATCAGCTTAACTTCAATGTTAATGTGTAATATTTCTTTTCAGAAATAAAATAATTTTTCATTTTTAAGAGTCTGGCCATGGTCAGTTGTTTGATGATAAATATGGCAGAAGTTTTATTGTTAAAAGAACAAAAAGAAGAAAATAATCTACTGATGAAAGTAAGGCCTACAATGTAGTCTTGTCAAAATGTTAACCACCAAAAGATTTCTTTAGTTCCTGTAATTACTGTTTTTAATTTGTTCCCAGCTGAAAATGATGACTTGGAAGGCGGGAATAACTCCTTGCGACCACCAAAGATTCTTCTAAATGCGTCCAAGTCATCTCCATCAGTTACAGAGTATGTACGGCAGAATATTGGTCAGCTTTGTATAGGCGCAGTGAGACCTGCGTCCGAACCGGTGTTTCCTCCCCAGCATATAATTGTTACCTCCCCTGAAGGAAGATCAAAGTCTGAGCAGGTGTTGTTCTACCTCCGGCCTGAGGAGGTAGACAAGAGCGATGATGCCGACAGCGGATATGGCAGCCCCCCGGCTCTCACTCCCAACTCCTCCGGTGTTGGACTGCACCGGAATGCCACAATGCCTGATCTGAGGACATGGGAATGTGCTTGACGACAGTGATAACTCTGAAACCTTGTTGGCCCGGAAACCCTTCTTTCCAGACCAGTTACTGTTAGGAACATCTGAATATATACAAAGGACATTACTCTGTATCATGTTTTGTAAATCTGGACGATTTCACTGAGAATGGTGCCGTCTGGATTAATGATATTTCACTACATTCAGTGAGTATCATTGTTCACTGTAATGAACACTCGTGACGTGAGAAGCTTCGAAAGGTTGAATAAATTTGAGAAGGATATTATTTTGTCATAAGAAGTACATTTGAATGGCAGGTAGGCTGTTTGATTCAAGACGTGTTAATTTTTCCCCCTGACCAAATTGAAATATTCAGATTGTTTTCGAGGATATGAAGTTTGTTCGAAACTTGCATCATGTTAGGTGCTTGAAGCATTGTTGAATTATGTCCCAAACTGCATCTTATATTTCTGTCCGTGAGTAGATATTGTATTGTTCAAGTGAGATTTTATGTATGAATAGTCCAAGAAAGATATATGTAAGGTTTTCCTGAATCTGTGTGACGGGTGAAACTAGGTACATATTAGAAACTATTAGATTACCTTATTTTCTTGTGTGTAATACATACCCCTCATTCTTGGGTACAGTTTTCTGGGTAAAATGGTATAAACCATGTACACTGTACAAAGTAAAGTGCAAACTGCCTCATTTTGCTGCAGATGACGTCTTGGCTTGAATTTCGACAGTGTGCAAAACAGACCTCCCTGTCCACACATGTATTTTTTGGGATAAGCAGTGTGCATTATACACAAGAATATACTGTACTCGTTTCATTTTTTGTCAACATAACATCACATCTAAGGCTAAAAAATAAAATCTAAGTTCTCAATGGCCCTTGGAAAAAAATGTGAAAAAGGAATCTACCGGGTGTCAGTTTTCACCAAATATATTTCATTTATGGTAAATGTTTTGTTATGATGATTGCAGGAGAATCAAGAATATTTATTTTTTAGCCTTATCTGCTTAACCAGATCAATTGTGTTCATGTCAATCATTTGATGAAACAGTTCAATTTTTCATCTAAGAAACTTCAGCTTCTTTTAAGATCAAACAATTGAGTTGTTGTTTGCATGGAGAAGAACTACACAGTTAAGACTTTTGTATGCATTTATGAAAACGAGAGTTTAATAATGTCATACTTCCGGCATTATGGAACAACGCACAAAAATTGTCCTGATTTTGTTTTACTGTTAACTGTCTCAGTGCTTCCTAAAGAAAAATGTGCATCTTTAAGCATAATGCTGTGTGTAATAACGTGTTTCTTGTGTTGGGGGAAAAACAAATCAAAATAGAATTGTTGTCAAAATATTTTTGTAATTAATATACTTCTTGTCATGATAAGTGAATTTCTCTGAAGGAACTGTCTTCCAAAACTTTTGATATCAACACTGATATGAAAGAATCTGTTTCATTTGGTGGATGCTTATAGTTTTAGGTTGTATTCTGTCACGACTCCAATGAAAATGTAGACTTGATCTTAGATAGTTTGTTCATGGTAACTATAACTAAACCGGCATTATTTAGAGTTGACCGTTACCATGGTTACAGTATGAATATACCAGGCCAGTTCTTATTGTTAATACTGCCCCACTGTGGATTTTCACAAGTCATACTCATTTCAATCTCATTAAAATAAGATCTTAGTTCTCGCTACCGCTAAACAAAGATCTGAAGACATCCCAGTTTGGGTCATGTCAGAACGACCTTTCATCCGACCAATCAGTGCGTCGCTTACCAGATTATGAAAGTGACAGTTGGAATGTGATTTCTAATCATGCAGTCTCGAAAACTTTATCATGGGGTATATCCGAACAATAGCTACAGGTTTAATGACTGAATCCTTACAATCTAGACCATCTATTAGCCATTCCAGAGTGTGTTTTTGTGAGAATTTGTCAAAATATGTTTCGAAGCGTGGTCGCCAATTTGAAATTTGTGCCGTAAAGCACGAGAAAGCTGCCTTCTGATTGGTCATTCCATTGGTCGGTCAAGGTTCGCGCAAGGTCGGTCTGACATGACCCGTAATGGGATGTCCTGAGATCTTTGTTTAGCGGTAGCGAGAACTAAGATCTGATTTTAATGAGATTGTACTCATTTATGTTGAAAACAAGTGTCTAGTGACTCGACCATGTTGGGTAATGTGTGCCTGTCGGCAGTTGGTATACATGTGTAGGCAGAGCTTGAGATCCATCTGAATAATTTTCATTTTTATGGATAAGGAACCCCTTTTCTGTTAACAGGGGTTTCCTACCTTTTGTTAAACCCCATATTGCTCGGTAATGGGGGTTAAATGTTTTTTGTTTTACTGAACTGGGTCCTCTAGTGGTCTGAAGCACTGAATAGGTGCTGATGTGAGGGGTTTAAGACCGGAGAGGTGCAAGGCTTTTGAGTTATTCTACCCCGTAACCGTGCACTGTCACCTTTTACTGAAGTAGTTGTTTTTGAGGCCCACATGAATAATTTCTCACTTTAGTGTGTTTTCAAGTTATCTTACATTTGTGATAATTGAATTTACTCCTTGAGTATTTTTACTTACATATGTAAATTTACAAGGTCAATATAGACATTAATAATACATACTGATAGTCAAACGTTAAGCAACGAATTGTGAGCAAGTTCAGTGGTGGTTTTACTTTTGACCATGAGTATATATCAGTGTACAAAGATAAAAAAAATGGTACAGTTCTACACTACTTCAACCCCCTTTGAAGATACAACCACTCACAATCTAAGTTACAAATTAAACACTACCAATATTATAAATTTAACTATATACACAATTTCTTATGTTTCGAGTAGGTTTAGTCCTTTGAAGTAGCAAACATTCCATCGCGGCGTGAAGCAGTGTGGGCACAATAGATGTTGTGACGCGTTTCTCCACACTTTGTTGTTTCCACTGCCTAGACATTCTTCACATGTACAATAAGGTAGTTCAGCACTCGGCCTTTCACATACACATCTTAAATTGTTTGATAGGCATTACTTAGAAGTTGACGGATGACAAGATAGACACAATTTTATGGATAACAACTTCTTTAATACTGTGAAAAGCGACGTTTCGGTATAGATCCTTATACCGTTGTCAAGCAAGACTGAATGAGGGACATAGTACAGAATATATATAGTAGGTGGAGGATGTTATCCCACTCATGTATGCAATTGTTGTTACTGTTAATCCTCTACTGTAAATCCTCCACCTACTATATATATTCTGTACTATGTCCCTCATTCAGTCGTGCTTGACAACGGTTTAAGGATCTATACCGAAACATCGCTTTTCACAGTATTAAAGAAGTTGTTATCCATAACATTGTGTCTATCTTGACATACACATCTGTGGTGTTTCAAACCCTGGGTGTGCATTGGAATATGCTTCTAGACATTTTTACATACTTTTTATTCTTACCAAATAGTGCTTATGTAAGAGATCAGTGAAGCTGTGTCACTTATGCTGTCATATCATTAACATTAATATGGCTTTCATTTACCCATCTTATGTGTATCATCTTTGAAATTTGTTGAGTTTTGTATATATATAGATGTTGATAATAAAATGTGATGAATGCTTTGTTTGTTGGTTCGTTTATTGTTTAACGCCACGCTCAGCTATATTTCAGGTATATGACCAGGGTCTGTAAATAATAGTCTGGACAAGACAATCCAGTGATTGTCATCATGAACTTCGATAAACGCAATTGTGATACGATTACATGCACCGACTGAGTCAGGGCGACTGACCGCCCAATGCTGTTAGTCGCCTCTAACTGCAAGCATGGGTTGCTGAAGACCTATTCCACCCTGGATCTTCACGAGTCGTGATGAATGTAATCAGGTCATTGCTATCAGATGGATTGTATGATTGGGTATGAATACCACAACCGAGGGGAATCTAGCCAAGAGCTGTGAGGGGGTCCAACAGCCAAGACACAACCCTGCTTCACAGATCTGAACATGAGTTTCATATATCTATGGGCGTTTCTGTGGTAAACTTAGGGCCCTATATTTCTCGGATTGTTTAACAGCAGCTACATGCTGAAATTTTGGTCCTTATCTTCTCAAATGATATCTCTAACCATGGATGTGTTTTCGGGGGCACAGGTGGCCCAGTCGTCCAAGGTGCCGCGATTCGCTGTGGAGAGTTGGGTTTCACCGGAGTGGTAAACGTCTGAGACCTGCATCACTTCGGGCTTTCCTCCCACATTAAGCTGACACGCCGGGATATAACTGGAATATTGTTAAAAGCGGCGTTAAACCCAACTCACTCACTCCATGTGTTTTCTGCTGTTCTCAACATTGGTGGCTTACAAGATTGCAAGGCAGAGATAATTATCGAACATTTGGCTTGTTAAATCCTGTACACCCACCTTACAGTTTTCACTGCAAGTTCACATGTTACAGAGAAATATTTTTCAGTGTAATATTTGTTTGGGAGAGTATTTGGATTAACGCTGCAAGCATTATTTCAGTTGTCAGCTTGATGTGGGGGGAAAACCTGAAAGTCAAGAAAAGCAGGTCTTGGACGTTTGCAGCTTTGGTTAAACCCACAAGTACAGGGATGGTGCTCACAAACCTGGAAACTTTATAAGGGCTAACTGGGATTGGAAGCCATGATCAGATGTCTTGCATGTTCTAAGTGATGCAGCTCTGCTCAGTGAATAGGGCACCTTAGATAACTGGGTGATGCAAGGCTTAGACATTTGCAGCTTAGGTAAAACTCAAGCACAGGGATGGTGCTGACAAACCCTAATCACTTTATAATGTTTAATCACTGCATCACCATAATAGCTGTTTTCTGCATCTGTTTCCAAACTCATTGAAATCAGACCTTGGTTCTCGCTACCGCTAAACAAAGATCTGAGGACATCCCATTAAGGGTCAAGCAGACCGACCAATAGAATGACCAATTAGAAGTCAGCTTTCTCGTGCTTTACGGCACTAATTTCAAATTGGCGACTACGCTTCGAAATATATTTTGACAAATTCTCGATTACAAATTTGAAACCTAAACAAAAGAACATTCTGGATTGGCTAATAGATGGTCTAGATTGTATGGATTCAGTCATTAAACCTGTAACTATCGTTCGTAATACCCCGTGTTAAAGTTTTCGAGGTTGTATGATTAGAAATCACATTCCGACTGTCACTTTCATGATCTGGTAAGCGACGCTTTCATTGGTCGGATGAAAGGTCATTCTGATGTGGGATGTCTTCAGATCTTTGTTTAGCGGTAGTGAGAACTAAGGTCTGATTTTAATGAGATTGCATCTGTTTCATTCACATTAATTCAGATGTTCAGAAATAGAAATTATAAAATTAGGAATAACTTCCATGGATTATTATACTATATATAAGTTTGGTGCCTAATTATTTGGCTAGATGGAAGATATGATGGGAAAAGGGTCAGGAAAGTTTCTAGCTTGGGAAAGTCTCCGCTTGTCTTTAGTAGAAACCCAGATCAAGATCAATTCATGATATGAAACTCATTGTCTCTCTTCATCTCAAAACGGGTCTCAATGCTCCAAGGAATTTATCTGTGAGTCGGTGAGTGAGTATGGTTTTACGCCGCTTTTAGCAATATTCCAACAATATCACAGCTGGGGAAACCAGAAATGGGCTTCACACATTGTACCCATTTGGGAAATCGAACCCGGGTCATCAGCGTGATGAGCGAACGCTTTAACTACTAGGCTACCCGACCGCCCTGAATTTATCTGTGCACATATATGGGCGATTGTTCTCACTAGTACACTGGTGCCCAGCTATAACAAAACATACAGATATTTCATATTCATTTATGTAGAAAATGTAAGTGTAGGCACATCCTATTGTGCCTATAGCAAGCCACACCTCTGGCGTGTGTATGTGTGCGTTTGTACAAGTTCGGACTGGCGCATGTAAACCGAACCCCAATACCACCTACAGACTCTGAACTTACCAGTCCTTGTTTTATCCTCTTAATGTCGAGTGGGGCAGGGAAACAAGTTTGATCTCTTAACACGATGCTACCATATTCGCATCTATTATGTGATTCATGGAATGTGGTAAATTCTCGTGTACTTGTAAGTCTGAGGTTCAAGAAGGATCTAAATGCTAAGAGTATTGTAACGCCGACACCTTAACATAGCCTTTTAATGGTTGTAACGCTAAAACAGCCGGGCCCACGTGTGTCAGTTTGCTTGATGTCATTTGATGAATTGTCAACTTTCTGTGTACAGTAAACTACGGTTATAAGTACAGCAAAAGGTTGGGACCAAAAAAGTAACTTCGTTATATCCGTCAGTTCGTTATAACCATAGTTTACTGTATATGGGGTTTAAACAGGCAGCTTGATATTGCAACATCAAAATTAGAGTGAAGTGTCTGAATAAATGTAGTGTTAACAATAGGTCAGTTGTATCACATGTGGGCTTAGTGTGGGAGGGAAGCAAAAAGTGATTTATGACAGCGCTAAGACAATCTAACTCCCATACTTTAACATTGACTTACTACATATGTAGCGCTACAATCACTTTGTGGAATGGGGTATTCAACATCTAACACTTCAATGACGTTATTGAGAAAAAGCCCCTTCATCAGGAAGTTTTAGTATACTGTGAAGAGCTATGTCAAGGGAGGCAACTTTAGAGAAACATTCAGTTGCACGACCGCCTTTTCTATGTTTAAATGCTTAAATGTAAACAAATAACGATGAGAAATGTTTCACCAATATTCTTTTATTGAACATTGGCATATCAGTACTTAAACATGCACCTAATCACATGTCCCTTCCTTCTCTCACCATGGCTACGACAATAAGGTAAACCATACTCGTATCAATGTCGCAAGATTTCAGTCTCTTCACATCATCGCATTCCAGTAAATTGTCAAAATTCAATATTTCCTCCTCAGAATAAATCTGCAATCCCCTCCTCCAAGAATCGTTTATAAATGGCCATGAACTTGGCCACAAAGGCCTCCAGGTGGTAGATGGCCTTTTGACCCAGCTGCAGTCGATGTTCGTAGTACGCTGCATGTTGAACCACCTCCGTCTTCAGCTGACCGTCACAGTTGGAGAGCAGTTCTTGAAGGAGACCCTGGAAAACAGGGTGTCCACGTCATACAAGTGTGTCATTTTCCACCCAATACATCATTCGTTACAACATCTTAACACATTTCATGTATTTCTGGGACAAGTGTCTATCAGTGACAGCTGCTGCTACAGTGATTGTACACTTGTGTGAATATATATGTGGTCTGTATGTATTGTGAGAGTGTTCAGTGAGTGGATGGCTCCCCCCCTCATGATGACTTCCTGTGTGAGAGTGGCTTTGTGTGCGTGCGTGCGTGCTGTGTATACATAGTTCAGTGAGTGGAGCCCGAACTTCATGATGACTTCCTCTGTGTGTGTGTGTGTGTGTGTGTGTGTGTGCGTGCGTGTGCGTGCGTGCGTGCGTGGGCGCTCGTGTTCAGTAAGTGAGGTGGGGTGAAAATGGGGTTTAACGTCATGTCCAGGATTATTGCAACGCGCATGTACGTGTGTGTGTTTGTGCGGCTGCTTGTACTAGTCCGGACTGATGCTGATTTATAGTGCTACCTCACTGAGATACCATGCCGCAGTTTAACATGAATACCCCACTCAGACACAGTATACTGACTCCGAGCTGACCAGTCCTTGTTTTAGCCTCTTAATGCTGAGCGCAAGACAGGGTAACAACAAGTACCATCTTTAAACGTCTTTTGGTATGACCAGCCAGGGATCGAACCCCGGACCTTCCGCTCTCCAGGCGGGCGCTCTACCACTAAACCACGGAGCTGGTCGTTCAGTAAGTGACCGAATCGCTCACCTTCATGATGATTTCCTCTGTGTGTGTGTGTGTGTGTGCATGCATGGCTCTTGTGTTCAGTAAGTGACTGAATCTCACCTTCATGATGATTTCCTCTGTGTGTGCGTGTGTGTGTGTGCGTGTGTGTGCTTGTGTTCAGTAAGTGACCGAATCTCACCTTCATGATGATGTCTGGTGGGATGCAGTGAGTCAGAAGCTCGTACAGTCTGGCTCGCACCTCAAGTAACCTAGGCAACAAAAATATCACCTTAGTGACCTGTGTATGGATGGAACCTGGGTATACATTAATTACATTGACTAGCTTCTCAGCTAGTATCACAGGTTATCTGGTGGGACCTGGTATTAGGAGGGAGTGTATACAAGGTTTATATCTACTCCATGGGTTGAGTATGTTAAATATGTCTATGTATATGTCTATCCATCTTCCTGAGGCAAAGGAGTTAACTGACTATAAAAGCCTTGTTTCCACCCTTGCCAAACTAGGCTGGAATTCCGGAGTTACATTTGGCTGGACTAACGAGTCCACGCATAGTCCTATCAAAATCACGCAACGAACTAGACATCCCATTCGTAAAAAACATGGATTTCAACGTGCAGATTCCAAGCGACTGCAGGATTTGCAAAACATGTACCGCCAACTTGGTGTTGACATATTTAAAAAATCTTTTCATGTTTTTAATCAAGGTGCTCAAGTGATTTGATGCACTTTGCATGGTAAGACCCATTTTATTACAATATAGATCTTGATAAGTGATTAGATCGTCTTGACTGGGCGCCCTATTTTGTTTGAAGCAAATGCAAGTGATATGAGACATGGAATCTGATTGGTCAACAGGAGGGACATAGAAGGGACATAACTTGTAATAGCAACTGGTTGTGCTACGATCGAGCCTGGAAATTCCAGCCTTGTCAGTTAACGCCCTTGCCTCGGGAAGATGTTATCACAAATTAGATAACAACAGCTGGGCTATTATTACCATGGCCAGCAACACATGTGCCAGATACTGCAGACAGACCACACATTTAACATCACACAATATATGGCAATCTGACAGTAATTTGGCTACTTAGCGCTTGGACAGCATCTCTGCAGGTTGTCTGTCCCACGGATTTCTATCTGACCATTGCTGTAGTACAGTCAAGTCTCGTTAATCCGACACTCGTTCATCCGACAATCAGCTTTCTCTGACACTAATGATGGGTCGGCAAGTAGCTGCATATTACAACGGCTGCAGAGATAAACTTGCTTAACAATTAACATGATTAACAATTAATGCTTTAAATAAAGAAAACAGGTTTAATCACATGTTTAGATTACCTCAATCTCATTAAAATCAGATACAAGTTATCGTTATCACCGAGGACATCCCATCACAGGTCACAAACCTTTCGCGAACTATGAGTGACCAAGGAAATGACGAACAGGAAGTCAACGTTAGCCACTAAGAAAGCAGCTTTCTTAATCTTTTCGGTACCAGTTTCAAACTGGCGACTTCCATTCCAGACTATAGTTTTAAAGTCATACAGTCCATAACAGTTGTTTTGTGTTAAGCTTTACAGGTTGCATGATTAGAAAACATATTCCGCTAACAATGTAACATAACAATATGAATATTTCATTTTTCATTACGTGTTTGTATCGGAATCTATCGTGAAGTTGTCTGATTTTCAATCACGAATGTTGATACTACTTAATTTCAGTTATCCGACATACTTGTTAATCCGACATAATCATATGCAACCAACCATGTCGGTTTAACGGGGCTTGACTATATAACCATTACGTAGTTGTACATTTCATTCTGAAATCAAGTGTTAAAGAACAGCCACCCTGAAACCTAATTATACTGGGATACGAGTTATACGATAATAAGGTTATGATTATGTTTATACAACAAGTAGAGTCACTTTTATGTGGACGAAATAAATGTGTCATACTTTGAGGTGTACCTTTCCATTCAAAGTGATATTTACAAGTCACTAGTAACTGAAACAGACATAAAATATAAATGGTTCAAAACGCTTCCTTCTCCAGCCCTTGTGACCTGACAATCTAATGTTTGTATCATATGTGGAAAACTTAACAACCTCTCTTGACTTTGACTTGAGACTGGAATTAATATTTGCATGCATATATGACTTGCAGCGGACATGGATCAATGACAGCTCTGATCCCTTGACAACATGGTGACTGACCGTTTAGGGGACTGTTGCTGGACGATCATGCTGGCCGTCTCCTTCAGGTACATCTCCCAGTCGGGGTCGGTCACTTCCTGGTCAGGGCTTAGTGGCAGTCTGTAGCAGGGAGTAGCAGTGAGTGAGTGGGTGGGGTGGTGGTTGAGTGGGAGGGTGGGGTGGTGGGCAAGCGGGTGGGGTGGTGGGCAAGTGAGTGGGATGGTGGGCAAGTGAGGGGGGTGGGCGGTGAGTGAGTGGGGTGGTGGGTGAGTGAGTGAGTTAGTGAGTGGGGTGGTGGGCGAGTGAGCGGGGTGGTGGGCGAGTTAGTGATGGGATGGTGGGCAAGTGAGCGGGTGGGGTGGTGGGCGAGTGAGTGGGATGGTGGGCAAGTGAGGGGGGTGGGCGGTGAGTGAGTGGGGTGGTGGGCGAGCGATTGATTGAGTATGGGTTGGTGAGTGAGCGAGTTGATTGGGTGAGTGAGTGAATGAGTTGGTGGGTGAGTGAGTGAATGAGTTGGTGGGTGAGTGAGTGTTAAATGGCAGGGAAATGTTTTTTCTTTCTTTCCTGCACTGGAAAGTTTAGGTCTTCTGACATGATCAAATACACGACTATCGCTAAAATGAGTGAGCTTCAAAAACCCAAGATGAATTTTTAGCACATTCTTATTTGTATCTCCAAAGACAAGTAGTATGGGGTAAAGACTTGTTATGTCCAAGTATTAGAAAAATGCTTTCTGAGAACCTCTAAAATCAGAGTAAAACACATTTTAGCCATATATACACAACATATAATTGTTAAAATGAACATAGTCCAATCCTCACTGAAATGAGTGAGTGAGTGAGTGAGCGAGTATGGTTTGAGGCCGCTTTTAGCAATATTCCAGCAATATCACGGTGGTGGACACCAGGAATGGGCTTCACACATTGTACCCATGTCGGGAATCGAACCCAGGTCTTCGGCATGACGAGCGAACACTTTAACCACTAGGCTACCCAACCGCCCCTCACTGAAACGAACACAGGTGATACTTTCATAATAATTTGAAAAGTTATTCCTCATGTCCTGGGTTTGCATATCCCAAGGACCCTAATCAGACCTTGTCCCCTGACAAAACATGTTTGTGTATCCCAAGGATCCTAATCAGACCTTGTCCCCTGACAAAACTGGTTTGTGTATGTCTTTGAGGCACTTACTGCTGCACTTTGCAGGCCTCACACATGAGGAGGGCTCGGCGGAGGTTGCGGTTGCTCTTCTCGGCTATCCTGTTGGCCAGGACTGCGGGGAGGTTGATGCACTCCTTCTTACACACGTTCTGCAGTATCTGGCATATCTGGAGATATTCATTGAAATAACTTTAAAACCCATCAAGACAGTCGGGCAGGTGACCCAGAAATGTTGCCTGCCCATCTTCAAAATTACCTACCCGCCTTCAGGCATCATAAATATTGAAAAATCCCCCAAACTAAGACAAATCTCCTCTTGGTTCATTTGAAAAAGACCCGTGAAGATTCCGGGGTAGAATAGGTCTTCATCAACCCATACTTGCTGTAAAAGGTGAATATGCTTGTCGTAAAAGGCGACTAACGGGATCGAGTGGTCAGGCTTGCTGACTTGGTTGATACATGTCATCGATCCCATTTGCGTGGATCGATGATCATGTCAATCACTGGATTGTCTGGTCCAGACTCGATTATTTTACAGACCGCCGTCATATAGCTGGAATATTGCTGAGTGCGGCGTTAAACAAAAAAAAAATCATTTGAAAAAATGCAAACTTGAGAATCTACAAGGAATTAAGTAGTCTTAAAATTATCTGCCAGACAGTTGGGCAGGTGAAGAAAAATTCATGCAGCCCGACAGAGAAGTTACCAGTTATGGGCAGGCAGTTATTTCGGACACTGTCTGGAGATGACACGCATAGAGACGCAGCACTCAGCAATATTCCAGCTATATGATGGCCGTCTGTAAATGATCGAGTCTGGACCAGACAATCCAGTGATTAATATCATGAGCATCGATCGACGCAATTGGGATTGATCCCCTTAGTCGCATTTTATGACAAGCAGTCGCCTTTTACGTCAAGCATGGGTTGCTGAAGACCTATTCTTCCCCAGAATCTTCACGGGTCCACATAGAGTGAGGGCATTTGGGTCAACAAGCTTGGAACAGTATTACAAATCAGTTATGTCCTGGCATGTCAATACTTGGTTTGCATGTTGATGTTATATAATTATTGAACTAAAATATACTGTGATGATGTTAGTTAAATAAAGCCAGTGAAGCTAAAGAAAGTTTGACAAACACACCTATTTTCATAGTTAAAGCAAGTCTTCTTGTTCACATAAATCCCATAGGACACATCTAAACAACTGAATATCTATTGGATCATATTGCAAAGTTTATTGGATTGCATTATCCAATAAAGATTTACTACATACAGAGCTCCAGATAAGCTTTTTGTGTTGTGGGTATTTTACCCATGCATTTTAAAATCATTGGGTATCAGTAATTCTATCTGGGTATTCAAATTTCTGTTACCCACTAGTTTTTACACATGTGGGTATTTAAGTTAAATATTTAAAAACACTATTCATCTAGTCCCTGCAAACTGGTGTCGTGTGGCTTTGAGAGCTTTATAGGACTCAAAAATACCACGATACTTCCACAAGAAAGTGTGATGGCAAATGATCATGATGTAACTGTCATCATGGAGTTTGGCAAGGTTGACGGAATGCCCGTTTACAATTTCAAAATAAGTTGCTGATTTGCTAATCGAATACGCAGGGTTACTTCACAATATTTTGATGATAAGCGTTTAAGTTTTATTTTTGTAGCGTATCTGTAATGTTCGTTGCGTATTTAATACTCTTGGATTATATTTTACTGCGTATTTCTGGTGCGTATTTTACTCAGATACACAGCTTATCTGAAGCTCTGCTACATATCTGTCTCTGCAGAAAGCAGGTATAAATTATAATGAAGTCAATTAACCACAGTGTTTGGAGACAAACACACCACCAAATTGTTGACATGCTTCATGTTGAACATGTAACAGTTTACATATTTCATACTCAAACTTGGGGACCAATGCGCATGAGATCCATCCCGGGAATGTCTGGTCCAGATTCAATTTACAGACTGTCGTCGTATAGCTGTATATTGCTGAGGGGGTATTACACAACAAAGACTGTATGATAACAGATCTGATACAACCCTTGCAAACAGTATGGTTAAACCTTTAATAAATCCATACCTCCTTTTTATTCCTTTTGGTATTCCTTGGATGGTTCTTGAGTTAGCTGAAACAGTTGTGTTTTAAGTGTAACATAAACACATACCTCCTCCAGGGATGGTGCTGGGACTCGGATGCCCAGACATCGACTCCTGATGGCCGGAATCACCTTGCTGGTGGAGTTACAACACAGGATGAGACGACACGTCGCCATGTACTTCTCCATCGTACGTCGCAGTGCATGCTGGGCATCCTTCGTCAGGCGATCTACTTCGGTCAGGATGACCACTGGTGAACAAAGTACAATATTATACTTATAAGGGATGGGATTGGAGGATTAGGGCCCAGGATGCTCGCTCCTGGGCAGTGAAGGCATTTGGCAAGTATATAACATTAAACACATGATAAAAATCCCAATTTGAAATCACTTGATAAATATCCAGCATGAATAAATGATATTGTGATAGGTATAGTGGCAAGAATGAACCTCTATATACTGATATACCGATAATACCTCAAACCCTTATTACTAATACACAAGGGTCACTGGGCAATGTGTTTGCTTGCAGTGATGTATCTAGGCCTGCTTATTGGCCAATATTTCAGTCTGAGTGTGAGTGTCAGTTAAAATCCTCAAATTGGAATAAAAAATTTCCCAATTCCTGTTATTATAGTTCTAATGTCATGGCTCAGAAGAGGTGACATTTATTTCACTGACCATGCTGATAACCATAGATAACACGGGGTTAGAGCTAAACTCAAAAGCTTCACCAGCCCGGGTAAAGATGAAAAGCCCTTGTAATGTTAAAACAATGGGGAAATTTGTACTAGCCCACAGGAATTTGTACTAGCCCCGGGCTAGCATTAATATCTAACACTGTAACAGGACCAATAAAGAGGAAGATATTTTAATGCTCAATTATACATTGCAACATCAACTGACATGTATTTAACAATGATTAACAAAACTATGAAATTAAATCAGCATAAGCAGATTAGTCTTGACTATGACAAGCAGCCACACACACGTGCATGCATGTCTCTATATAAGTTAAATAATCTTTGACGTGATGCTAACCCCCATTGCACCTCACCACAAGTAAACTAGGCATAAACCAGTGTAGCAGGGAAACCTTGAGTCCGAATTTAACAGAATAAATGCATAAAGGACAGAAATGACCAGAAACATTGTGATAAAAAGGTGTAAAAGAAAACAGATATTTCATAGGTGCAAATTTTCAATGGGACAAGTAAGTATAATAAGGCACTGCTTCTGTTGTCTATCAGGAATATCTGATAACCAAATACATGTTTCGAACTCTGGATTTTGAAGATAAGGCATCGGTTTCAGAAATATTTAGTGATATAATCTTGATTCTTACCTTTGAAATCTTTCTGCGATGATGAGTCAAGCTGGTTGACCTGTGCAACGTTCTTTATCATCTCCTGAATGACGATTCTGTCACTGTTGCCAACATCACTGGACAAACAAAACTAGTTATCACCATGAATGAGTGAGTATGGTTTTACCCTGATTTTAGCAATATTCCAGCAATATCACGTAAGGGGACACCAGAAATGGGCTTCACACATTTTGCCCATGTGGGGAATCGAACCCAGGTCTTCGGTGCAACGAGCAAAGCTTTAACCACTAGGCTACCCCACCGCCCCTGTTCACCATGACAATCAGCAGCAAACATACCAACTTTTACTGTTCAATATTGGTATGGGAATTGACTAAAGCACACTGCTCTCAAAGTCTCAAGAAGTGATATACATGTAACAATATAGAGGTCATCAGTAATGCAGGGTTTATCGGACCAGAATATTGAAAATGGAAGGTCACAAAAAAGTATGGCTGATTGAATCACCATGATCAGCAAAATAATCAACACTATGCACTGCATGTTACACACACTCATACAACCGACATGTCTATTCTGTTTAAGGGCAACAGTACACCAACTCTCAGTCGTCTTACTGACAACGTTTTAATTAGCCAGTGGAATCATCAGATGCCAATTAATGCTAAACACACATCAAACCAGTCAAGATTATAGGCCATGTCTAAGTAAAGTTTGAATCCACGAAGAAAAAGCTGTCCATATTTCAATGCTTTCAAAGTTGGAATGTTGAGGGTCAGTAAGTACACGTCTCTTCTGGAAAGTTCAGATAGTGAGTGGTTGATTTTCTCCAATCTAATACTGACATCCCTATCTATCCTAAGCTTAGGGCTTTAAGCATGTGCAAATATTGCAATGATAGTACATCAGTAACCGTGTTGGCAATCAAGGGAAGCAAGCCTCGTCCCAAACCGGGGACCTCTTGTTCAAACCTGAGACCGGAAAACAATTATTTTTTTTACGATTGTTTAGATGTTAGCCCAGGACTAAAAACAGATAGATCCAAGTAAAACACTGGGAATGAGATATATTAAATTCTAAATGGACCCCAAAATATTATTACTGAGAGTCCCATGGACTTGAAAATAGATATACCAATTTCAAAAGACGACCAACCTGGCATTGACTTCGATATGGTAGTTGCTTGAGATAGTGGATATCTCTATTTTCTTGTTAGATGGAGTTGTGAAGGTGTTGTGTTCGATGCGCAGCTTCTCCACGCCTGCACCGTACAGCTCCCGCAACATGCACATGATGCGCGTCTTCTTCCCCGCACCGGACGGACCGTACACCAACAGGTGTGGGAAGTCTCCGCTTCGAACCTGGAGGATGTAAGGGTGTCAGTGACAGAAAACTTGAGCACTGATATATCGACTCACAAGTTTGTTTTATTTGTTTGATTAACGCTGCACTCAGCAGTATTCCAGCCATATGACGGCGGTTTGTAAATAATCAAGTCTGGACAAGACAATCCAGTGACTGGGATCATAAGCCTCAATCTATGCAAATGGGATACGATGACGTGCATCAACCAAGTCATCAAGCCTAACCCCGTTAGTAGCCTCTCACTACAATCTTGGGTTGCTGAAGACCAATCCTAACCTGGATCTTCATGGATCTGACTCACAAGTATCACAAAATATTGACTGATGATAAAATTAATTATTCTGAATGTACATAGATACAAATTACCTCAAATTAATGCGAGTATGGTTTTACGCTGCTTTTAGCCTTGTTCCAGAAATATCAACATGATCAAGACAGGGGACACCAGAATCCTTCCTGGTGCTAAAATAGGACGTCCCCCTACCTTGCCAGACAAATTTGAGAATGAACTTGTCGAGAATGTTACAAAGGCACTGGTGATGGGTCTTGGTGTGTGTAAGCGACAGCTTCTAAACAAGACAGGTTGTTTAGTTCGAAAACTTAAAATGAAAACATCCTTTAAGGACAAACTTGCCTTAAGACGTACCGAAAATGTTGTGCATGTTAGGTATGTTTACATTGTAAGTGCGCCAATGCGCACGTGCAGTGACGTCACTTTAGGTGTGACGTCATTATGTTGTTGTAACCTAGGCAGCTGTGTGAGGCAGCGCCAGTTCTACATTAAACAGTGATTGAGCCAACTACGGTTTTGTTATGTATTGAAGATTTGATGTTCCTCCAATGTTCGGGTCGGACAAATAACATAATACATACACAACAGTGGCGACGAGGATAAAACTTTCTATACGTGATTACATTCAGTGCTTTTCCATAATGGCAGGCGTCATTGGAGATGTTGGACAGTTCGATGAAAGTTTAGAAGATTGGATGTCATATTCTGAAAGAGTGAGTTTATATTTCGATGCTAATGACATTCCAAATGAACGAAGAGTTTCCGGGTTTCTTTCCATGATTGGTGCAAAAACTTACAATGTTCTCAAATCGTTGGTTTCTCCTGATTTGCCTCGTACACGTACTTTGGAACAATTATTCACTGTTTTACGTGATCATTACATGCCTAGACCAAGTGTTATTGCTGAAAGATACAGATTTCACAAGAGAATGCAGACCGAAAACGAAACTGTTTCACAATATGTTGTTGTTTTGAAAGGACTGGCTAGATTTTGTGACTTCGGCGCTACACTGAATGAACGTTTAAGAGATCAATTAGTTCTTGGACTGAAAAGTGTAAATGTTCAAAGAAAATTGCTTGCAGAATTAGAATTGACACTAGAACGTGCAGTTTCAATTGCAAATTCAATGGAATTAGCTGCGAAAGATTCAGAAGAATTATGCCGCAACGGATTACCGAAGGAACAATCACAGTCAGAGGTGTTTTCTTTCAACAACAGAAGATCTAATGCAAGGTATGAACGTTATTGTTATAGATGTGGAAAGCCTTCGCATTTAGCTGATACTTGTAATTTCAAAGATACAGTTTGCTCATTCTGTCAAAAGAAAGGCCATATTCAGGAGGTATGCAAAGCGAAGAAATGGAGTCAAAGGTCAGGTCAAAGTTCAACATCCGGGTTTCGTCAAACAGGAAGTGCTAGCTCCAGCAATGTAAACAGAAACGGTAGGCGTCAAACTTTTCGTGTAAATGCTATCAATGAAGAACTTTGTTCAACCCATGAATATGAAGATGACATTCTAGATGATTTAGGTGACTGTCTAAATCATTTGCTCGCTATTCACGGTGCTGCAGATGTCATATGGGTGACAGTGAATGTAAATGGACGTGATCTAAAGATGGAGTTAGATACTGGCTCAAGAAGTTCTATCATTACTGAAGGCGTTTACAGACAGAACTTTTCAGAATGCAGCTTACAAGAATCGCCAATCCCAATGAGAACATACACAGGTGAGCTTGTCACAAATCTTGGTATCATACATGTTGACGTTCGTGATGGTGAAAGAGTAAACCAGTTACCACTACATGTCGTGCAGGGAAAAGGTCCTCCGTTACTGGGGAGGGCGTGGTTACCATACGTAAATATTGACTGGAAATCATTAGGAAATAATGTCAACATGTGTCACAAAATGTCAAGTGAAGATCAACTGAGTGAAATGTTTGTGAAATACTGTGATGTATTTTCTGATGAACTGGGTACAATTAATGGAATCAAAGCCCATTTAGAAGTGAAAGATGGCATGTCTCCTAAATACATGAAAGCTAGGCCTGTTCCTTATGCACTTCATGATAGAGTGAATGAAGAAATTTCAAGGATGGAGAAAAATGGCGTGATTATCAAAGTAGAACATTCTGAGTGGGCTACACCAATAGTTCCAGTGGTCAAACCTGACAAATCTGTCAGAATATGCGGCGATTTCAAATCTACTGTAAACCCAGCTTTAAATGTGAACCAGTATCCACAAAACAAGATTGAAGACATGTTCGCTCAACTTGCCGGAGGTCAGAAATTCTCAAAGATTGATCTTGCTCATGCTTATCAACAAATGGAGGTGGATGAAGACTCACAGAAACTACTCACCATCAATACTCCAAAAGGACTCTACAGGTACACAAGACTTGCTTTCGGCATTGCTTCAGCTCCCGCAATTTTTCAAGCTACTATGGACCAAATTCTTCAAGGTTTGCAGAAAGTATTATGTCATCAAGATGATATTCTAGTGACCGGTTCAAATGATGAAGAACACTTACAGAACTTGGATGCAGTTTTGTCAAGATTACAACAATTCGGCTTGAGAGTAAAACAAAGTAAGTGTAAATTCTTTGTAGACTCAGTCAAATATCTCGGTCATGTTATTGACAAAGAAGGACTTCATACTTCAGAAGATAAAGTGAAAGCTATCATCAGTGCTCCAAGACCTGAAAATGTGACACAACTACGTTCCTTTCTCGGTGGAGTCAACTACTATGGCAGATTCATCCAGAACCTTTCTACAATCGTTCACCCGTTAAACGAACTGTTGCAGAAAGACAAGAAATGGCTATGGTCAACTGAATGTGAGAAATCTTTCAAAATGTCTAAAGCAAAAATTGCAAGTTCCGATGTGTTGTGTCATTATGATCCATTGTTGCCAATAACATTGGCATGTGATGCATCCTCCTATGGCGTGGGTGCTGTGTTGTCTCATGTGATGAGTGATGGTACTGAACGACCGATTGCATTTGCTTCAAGAACACTGAACAAGGCTGAAAAGGGATATTCACAAATTGACAGAGAAGCCCTAGCAATTATATTTGGTGTGAAAAGATTTCATCAGTATGTGTATGGTAGCATTTCACTCTCGTGACAGATCATCAACCTCTCACTGCCCTGTTTGGTGAGGGACGGTCAGTACCATCATTAGTTGCTGCTCGTCTACAGAGATGGGCATTGATTCTCAGTGCATATGATTACAAAATTCAGTACAAATCTTCCTCTGCCAATGCAAATGCTGATGTGTTGTCTCGTTTACCTCTACCTGATACAACAAAATGTGTGAGTGATGATGTAGATTTGTTCTATGCAAGTCAGTTTGAACATCTGCCTATTACAGCAGGTGATGTGAGAAATGAGACAAGGCGAGATCCTGTTCTTTCACAAGTGTACATGGCAGTGATGAACGGTTGGGATAAAGAGCACAGTGAGAACAAAATAATGAAACCATTTCACTCAAGAAGATATGAGCTTTCCATTCAATTAGGATGCATTGTATGGGGAATGAGAGTAGTGATTCCTTCTAAACTCAGAAACGGTGTTCTAAATGAGTTACATGGTGGTCATTTTGGAATGGTGAAAATGAAATCAGTTGCTAGAAGTTATGTGTGGTGGCCTGGAGTAGATGCTGATATTGAAAGTACTGCAAGAATGTGTATTACATGCCAGAATCTTCAAAATGATCCAACAAAAGCTCCTGTTCATCATTGGTCATGGCCATCAAAACCATGGTGTCGCATTCATTTGGACTTTGCTGGTCCTTTCATGGGTCACATGTACCTCATTGTTGTAGATTCTCATTCCAAATGGTTAGAGGTGATTGTTATGAATTCAACTACTGCTGATGTGACAGTGAAAGTGATGAGAGGTTTGTTCGCGAAATATGGATTACCACTGCAAGTTGTTACAGATAATGGTCCACAATTTGTGTCAAATGAGTTTGAAACATTCTTGATAAGTAATGGTGTAAAACACATCTTATCTGCTCCATATCATCCTGCTACAAACGGACTTGCTGAGAGAGCTGTTCAATCCTTCAAACAAGCTATGAAATCAACTAGAGGGGATGATGCAACATTACAGAAGAAGATTGATAGGTTTCTGCTAGCCTATCGTTCTAGTCCCCATTGCACAACTCAAGAAACTCCAGCAAAACTTTTTCTTGGAAGAGAACTAAGATGTAGACTTGACTTAATCAAGCCTAATCATGCTGATGTTGTTGCTACAAAACAGTCTTCTTCATTGTGTCAACCTGGCGACACAAGACAGCTAAATGACAATGATAAGGTGTGGGTGCGTGAGTACAACAAAGAAGACAAATGGACTGCTGGCAAGGTGATGACAAAATGTGGTGAAAGACATTATGATGTTGACATTGGCAATAGAACTGTCAAGCGTCATATTGATCAATTAAGGTGTAGAGATGCAACTAGTAACCATGGTAACGAGAACATGATTGTTCAAAGTGACTGTAGTGCAGGGACTGTAGAAAGTATCAGGGTCAACAAAGGCGACCCTATCGTAATACCTAGTGCATCACAGCAATGTGATGAACACCAGTGTGAAGACAGTGAGGTGACAATTGCAAATGTACCAGCAAAACAAACCGTGAGACGTTCGTGGAAACTGACAGTTTTGACAATTAAGTCATTGAATAAAGTATTCAGCAATGTGTAGCAGATATCATATATATATGAGTTTATCATTTGTGGTTGAAAGTTGTAACATTGTTAAATTTTAACTTTAGAAAATAGCTCATAGTACTGTGTTCTGAATATTGTAAATGTATTGGTTAGAGAAGTAGAAAGTAATTTCTTTTAAGGGGGAGAAATGTTGTGCATGTTAGGTATGTTTACATTGTAAGTGCGCCAATGCGCACGTGCAGTGACGTCACTTTAGGTGTGACGTCATTATGTTGTTGTAACCTAGGCAGCTGTGTGAGGCAGCGCCAGTTCTACATTAAACAGTGATTGAGCCAACTACGGTTTTGTTATGTATTGAAGATTTGATGTTCCTCCAATGTGCGGGTCGGACAAATAACATAATACATATACAACAGAAAAGTCGCATGTGCGCATGATGAATACTGATGTGGTAGGCATGGTAGGTGGATATTTCAAAGTTCCACAAGAAAACCTCAATAAACTTGATTTACCTGACCATTACATCTGTGGTAGTTATATGGTCCTGTCTTGATTAGTCAAAGTAAATTATGTAAACTCACTCTTCTAACACAAGTAAAATTGGTTGTTTATTTTAACTGATCGGTAAAATAGGGAAAATTATATATTAACGGTTAGTGATGCTTTATTTCATAATGATAAATCTTGAAGCTACAATTATTATGGTGATAAAGAAGAAAGGGATATGCACAAATTCTGGTCTGGCTTGGCTGTTGACACTTGAAATATTTGTTTGAAATATCTAAAGTTAAACTTGATTTACATTTTGAAAATGTCACTGAGGTGAACGTGAACGAATGACAGCTTTATCAGTGATGGTCGATAAGTTGGACAAGTTCTCGCAATCTTACCAATTTCTTGAGATGTGCCGCTTGGTCTTTGTGGAAGTCTAACTTGTTGAGCGACGACGGTCGATGCTTATCCACCCACAAACTCATTTTCGTGAAGTAAACAACCTGAGACGGACAAAATATGGCGGGTGAATAATCGCGGGAATGCCTTCGAACACCTGACGTCATGAAGGAATTCCCGGGAATCCCCTTGGCTATGAGGGCTCCTAACATCGCATAAACAGCGCACGCGGTATCCTGATTTTATTGGTTCGGTGTATTTGCGTTTTTTTACCATCAACTTTATATTTGATTTTATCAAGAACGCATTTCGCAATATTACAAATTGGAATATATGACACAAAACAATTATTGATTATATAAAACAATTATTGATATCATGAATTCGAATTTTAGATATATCATAAAACGAACTTGTGATATAGTCTAAAATGTAATTTATATCCAAAGATCAGAGACCATAATTTTTTTATTTAATGGTCTCTGTCCAGGTTGGATTTGAGATACGTAAAAGTCCTAAAGAATGTTTTGATATCATAAATTCATTTCATTAATTTGTGAATATGTAACAATCGAATTTGTTATATCAATTATTCAATTTGAGATAATCATAAAACAGACACTGGTGAATTTTAGACATCATTTAGGTTAGTGGGAACCTATTCCATCCTGTTTATATTAATAATGCACTCGTTATGGAATCCTGGCGTACCTTCATGTAGATTGATTAATCCCTGGTAAAGTTCCTTCATTTATTTCGAATTGTTTAAGTGTTTTGAGTTTGCCATGGGCAACTTTACATTACCTTTGAATCAACATTTTATCAGAATAATTTTTGTCTCTCACGAAAGATATATCCCTATTCAAAGCGGAGTTGTATACATCGAATCAAACTATTATACAAACAGTCGCAGTTTCCCTAGAAATATCTTGTTATGCTTAAACATAGTGAGGTGAGGTATGACGCGGCCGGGGATCGAACCCTGGACCTTCCGCTCTCCGGGCGGACGCTCTTCCACTAGACCACGGAGGCGGTCTTTAAACATAGTGAACTCGTATAAGATTGCCCTGCGTATTTTCCCGGAAAAGGAAATGTGTACTATAGGAAGCAAAGCGGGTAACATAATATTTATGTGGAATTTGTTGACCAGTTTGGTACTTATCAACAATTGGCGTAATGGCCAATCCTTACTTTTGAATTGACTCCAGAGAAGGGAGACACACATTTATCGAATATGTTCGTTACCTGACACACCATGAATTGACGATAAAGATTTAGCATGTTTGTTAATAAACACACAAACGGGAATGACTGCTAATTACTGTCATTTTTTGTTTGTTTTATAACAACACGACATGCAAAGAGCTTCATATGATAGTACTACTTTGCGTTTTCCTGGGGTCGATCGTATTATAATGCGGACGGTTTAACAAGGTAGTATAATTATAGTAGACCCTTGTATAGTGGTATAGCATTACTGTAACATAAGTAGCCTCGAGTAGTAGGGGCAATGTGGTATAGTAGCCACAGCAATAGTAGACCCGAGTAGTACAATAGTAGCCGCAGCAATAGTAGACCGGAGTATTGAGGGTGGTATAGTAGTAGCCGCAGCAATAGTAGACCCGAGTAGTGAGAGTGGTATAGTAGTAGCCGCAACAATAGTAGACCGGAGTAGTGAGGGTGGTATAATATTAGCCACAGCAATAGTTGACCCGAGTAGTACAGTAGTAGCCACAGCAATAGTAGGCCGGGTATAGTAGTATCCGCAGTATTATTAGACCCGAGTAGTGAGGGTGGTATAATATTAGCCACAGCAATAGTTGACCCGAGTAGTACAATAGTAGCCGCAGCAATAGTAGACCGGAGTATTGAGGGTGGTATAGTAGTAGCCGCAGCAATAGTAGACCCGAGTAGTGAGAGTGGTATAGTAGTAGACGCAACAATAGTAGACCGGAGTAGTGAGGGTGGTATAATATTAGCCACAGCAATAGTTGACCCGAGTAGTACAGTAGTAGCCACAGCAATAGTAGGCCGGGTATAGTAGTATCCGCAGTATTATTAGACCCGAGTAGTGAGAGTGGTATAATATTAGCCACAGCAATAGTAGACCCGAGTAGTACAGTAGTAGCCGCAGCAATAGTAGACCGGAGTAGTACAGTAGTAGCCGCAGCAATAGTAGACCGGAGTAGTACAGTAGTAGCCGCAGCAATACTAGACCCGAGTAGTACAGTAGTAGCCGCAGCAATAGTAGACCCGAGTAGTACAGTAGTAGCCGCAGCAATAGCAGACCCGAGTAGTGAGCGTGGTATAGTAGTAGCCGCAGCAATACTAGACCCGAGTATTACAGTAGTAGCCGCTGCATAAGTAGACCCTAATAGTGAGGTAGGTATAGTAGTAGCCGCAGCAATAGTAGACACGGGCAGTACAATGGCGGCCTCAGCAATAGTAGACCCGAGTAGTGAGGTGGTATAATATTAGCTACAGCAGTAGTAGACCCGACTAGTGAGGGTGGTTTAAATAGTAGTAGCCACAGCAATAGTAGACCCGGGTAGTGAAGGTGGTTTAAATAGTAATAGTCACAGCAATAGTAGACCTGAGTAGTACACTAGTAGCAGCAGCAATAGTAAGACCCGAGTAGGGAGGGTAGTATATAGTATTAGTCCCGACAATAGTAGACCCGAGTAGTACAGTTGTAGCCACAGCAATAGTAGACCCGATTAGGGAGTGTGGTGTAATATTAGCCGCAGCAAAAGTAGACCCGAGTAGAGAGGGTAGTATAGTAGAAGCCGCAGCAATAGTAGACCCGAGTAGTACAGGTAGTATATGTTATGGCAGTAGTACTTCTTATTCTGGGCATTGACGAAAGCGGAGCATCTGACATGACACATTTGTCCAGTGACTAGGTTCACTGAAAATTTTTTCCTTCTGTCTATACGTAAACCCATGGACAAGGGTGGCCTTGTGGTCACAGACACCATGATTCACCGTGTGTTGGCTTCAAGGCTTCTCCTTGTTATGGTCATTGGTCTTTCAGCAACATTCTGCATCACTTGGGCTTTCCTCACACTTATAGATCTGCTACCACTTTTGCCTATTATATTGTAGATGTGTTCCCATCTCGTAATAACCTCTTAGGAGGTTTTACGTTTTTCATGGTAAGAACTCATCCCGGATATGGGGTTTTACTTTTGAGTGAGTGAGTGAGTGAGTTGGGTTTAACGCCGCTTTTAACAGTATTCCAGTTATATCACGGCGTGACAGCTTAATGTGGGAGGAAAGCCCGAAGTGGTGCAGGTCTCAGACGTTTACCACTTCGGTGAAACCCACGAGCACGGGTATGGGCACGCCAGAAACCTATTTTTGTGGGTTCGAATCCCGGTTCGCCCCGATTATATTTCTAGGTTTGTCAGCACCATACCCGCGTGCTCGTGGGTTTCCTCCCGCATTAAGTTGACTCGCAGTGATATAACTGGAATAATGTTAAAAGCAGCTTTAAACCTCACTCACTCACTCACTCACTCACTCGAGGCAAGACTGGAATTTCTGAGCTCGATCGTAGCGCCACCAGTGGCTATTACGAGTGATCTCCCTTCTATATCCCTCCTATTGGCCAATCAGATTCCAACTCTCATATCACTTGCATTTGCTTCAAGCAAAATGGCGGCGCCTAGTCAAGACGGTCTGCTCGATGATCAAGATCTATATTGCTATAAAACCTGTTCTTCTTCGCGAAGTGCATCAAATCGCGTCGGCTCCTTGACTGAAAACATTAAAAGATTTGGAAAATATCGCTAAGTTGTCGGTACACATGCTTTGCAAATCCTGCAGTCGACCGAAATTTGCACGGCAGTTTAAGAACCGTATCTCGATATCATACGCGATTTTGATTGGACCGTGCATAGACTCGTTAGTCCAGCTAAAATATGATTCCAGCCTAGTTCGGCAAGGGTGGAAACCTGACTTTTATAGTCAGTTAACAGTTAACTCCCTTGCCTCGGAAGATGGCCGCATTGCGATTTAGTGAAATTCTGTATAAGTTCGTGTTAACACATTTCCCTCACTCATTCTCTCGAGTCCACTTAAGCAAAGCAACTTTAGTACAACTTCGAGTTCACAATGCTCTGTGAGGCGACTTACTCTGTAAATATACTGATGGAAACGAATAAAGGAACAATGAATAATATAGGGATATAACCTTTCTGTCAGTACATTTTAAATAGCACCACACAAATTCAACACATGTCAGATTCAAATGTTGAGATGTGTTTGTGTGCATTGTTTCCAAGGTGTATTTGGTAGTCAAGGCTGGAAACCCATAATATCATTTTACTGTGTCTACAACTAAGTGTTCCCTCATTCATTTCCATCAGTATATTACCCGAGATCGATGGTAAACCACAATATAAAACACAGTCACCGCTCTCGCTTGTCGACGCTTCGGCAGGGAACTGCAGTTGACCTGTTCGCAGTCGTGTAAGTATTTCTTTTACCTTTTGCACACAAATTTATTATACCCCGCCACGAAGTGGGAGGGATATATAGGAACTGGTGCTGTCAATCCGTCCGTTCGTCACGATTCAGCTCAACTCGGAAACCGTTTAATATTTTATTATGAAACTTTGCATTTGTTTCAAACATATGCTGAACTGGTGCCTGTTGATGTTTGGGTTTTAAAAAAACCCAAAACACATTTGTATTTCCTTGGCAACAACTTCGATTCAGACACAAATACTTGTAGCATTCTCTTTCGAAGCATAAATCGGAAACCGTTTAATATTCTACTATGAAACTTTGCATATGTATCAAACATATGCTGAACTGGTACCGTTTGATGTTTTGGTATTTCTAGTAGTTTGGTATTCTCAGAACCTTCTGAAGCTACACGAATGAAGCTTTGCAAGTTATCAAAGAGATACTCAAGACTGAGTTCGATTTTTTTTCCAATGTTACGTCCTTTGCTTCATGTATGTTTAGAGGGTTAAGGCCCTTACTCCATCTTTTTCAACATTAACTTCATATCACTCACGGGCGGTGGGGTAGTCTGGTAGTTAAAGCGTTCGCTCAATGTGTGAAGCCAATTTCCGGTGTCCCGGGGGTTGTGATAACGCTGTTTTCTTGTTCATATCTATACTACATGACATCAGGTGCCCTCATTATAAGTAAGTGAGTTTGGTGTAACGCCGCTGTGTAGAGTATTTCATATATATCCGACATACCTTGTTAGTGTGGGAGAAAAAGCCCGTTGGACGTTGGACGCTACTTACCCAGTCGGTGAAACCAATGATCACGGGTATGATGCTGGCAAACCAAGGTTCATAACCGGGGCGAATCTCGGGCTCCAACCGGGGTACATGGGTACAATGTGTGAAGCCCATTTCCGGTGTCCCCCGCCGTGATATTGCTGGAATATTGCTTAACTTGTGACTTTCGAGCTTTTTAAGATTGTTTCTACACGGTTAATATAATATGTGTTATAACAAATATACATTATAACTGATTAAACTTTACTTTGTCCTCCCATCTTTAGATTTCTACACAGTTTTTGGAACTTTTATTCCTGGAAGTTAGTTTAAATTTAGTCAGGAATGTTTGATGATCAATTATGAACAGTCACGAGCACGCCCATGGTGTTAACAAACCTAGAAATGGCAATTTTCGCCATTGCGGCGCCTTCGACGACTGGGACATCAGAAAAAGGAACCAAACGAGCAGGATGCAGTGTCAAGAAGGAATGCGTCATCTGTGCCTGTAGATGTTATCCACGTTTTCCAGGGGTCGTATTCATCTAGCAACGGATGTTTGTTTGTTGTTTGTTTAATATTCCATTTATAGGACAACGGTCTTTAAATAATCGAGGCGACTAACGGGATCGGGTGGTCAGACTCGCTGACTTGGTTGATGCATGTCATCCTATCCCAATTTCGTGGATCGATGCTCATGATGTCAATCACTGGATTGTCTGGTCCAGACTCGATGATTTACAGACGGCCGTGATATAGCCGGACTATTGCTGAGTGCGGCGTTAAACAACAAGTAAACACACATTTTCACAACCAACATTAATGAACTGAGAACTCCTATTTTACAGGACGTGTAGGTTTCGTCGACGATGGTGAAGGTGACAGAGCCGGCACTGCAGTACCTGGCTCACAATATCGGTATTTCCGGTTTCAAGTACCTGCTTGGCCCGGACGCCACCACAGCAAGGAGGTAACTCCCATTTGAGCTTGTAGCTCTGTAGTCCTTCTGTTTCACCGATGTTAACACCACGAGTGAATGAGTGGGAAGGCGCGCGCGCGTGCGTGCGTGTGTGTGCGTGCGTGCGTGCGTGCGTGCGTGCGTGCGTGCGTGTGTGTGTGTGTGTGTTTTGGGTCATTTTTCGAGGCATTCGGTTTTTTTCTCAGAAAGAAGTCTGGCAGAAACATTTTTAGGGCATCTAGCATGTCCAGCGCACGAAACAGTGAAACAAGTTATTTTTCATTTTTAAAAAAATCCAACAGCACCATAATCTCTTAATCCCTAGGTGTTATAGGTGTGAATAATAAACGGCCTTTGCAATGTACATAACATATCAATCTATTATCTTCTGGACTGTTTGGTTGCACTCGGCTCGGATTGACGTGTTGACCATATTTGAGATCCCTGTACAATTCAGTTTGAATAAAACATTTCAAAGCATCATTATCTTGCTAACGATAACAGTTGGCAATCAATGATCATAGCCATCGGGTATTTGGCCATTAGTAACACCAATAGGTGCATCGCATCGTTCGGTCCCTGAGTATAAAGTTACAATAAACTTGAGATCAATGCCCGGTAAATACCCAATGATCACACAGAAGCGTGTTGAAATGCGCGTTGTGTAACACGGGATACGTGCTTACAGAGGTGCTTGGGTAAAAACAAGAGCAGAGACCATAGTCTTCGACTAAAAGCATTGTATTGCATTTCATTCAGAGCTTTGGCTTAAAACACACTCATTATCTGCTACAATCAAATCTGCGACAATACAAGACTACAAAAGAATGTTCATACATAGATAAACACAAAGCACCAAGCACATAACCGTGAAGCACATAAGCACATAACCGTCACGGACATTTCTGGGAAATGCTTATAATCTAATCTAGGAAGAGGCGCCCAGACGGAAGAGATACACGCCGTTGCATATTCAACTGAATGTTGTTTCGAGAATGTTGGGTATTATATTATTGAAACGAACTCATTTAGATGAACGTAAGTTGATACCGTTGGAATATGAAACGTCAACGCGATGTCATGATCATATTTTGATATGAATAATCCGAAGTTAGCTGGCAAAGCACTAATCACACACGACCCGTGAAGATCCGGGAAAGAATAGGTCATCAGCAACCCATGCTTGCCATAAAATGCGACTATGCTTGTCGTATTGGGCGACTAACGGGATCGGGAGGTAAGGCTCTCTTGGTTGATGCATGTCATCGTATCCCAACTGCGTAGATCGATGCTCATGATGCTCATGATGTCTGGTCCAAACTCGATTATTTACAGACCGCTGTGATATAGCTGGGATATTGCAGAGTGCGGCGTTTAATAACGAGCAAACAAAAGCAAACAAATCAGTGGTAATACTATATCCGCAATTTTGTGGCCCAGTTCTTCTATAACAACAATCTTTTTTATACACACTTCCCAATAAACATACATCAGTATATCTTGAACCGCCTCCCTGGTCTAGTGGTAGAGCGTCCGCCAAGAGAGCGGAAGGTTCGGGGTTCGATCCCTGGCCGCGTCATACCAGAAGACGTTAAAAGATGGTACTTGTTGTTACCTTGTCTGACGCTCGGCATTAAGGGGCTAAAACTAGGACTGGTCGTCTCGGAGTCAGTAAGCTGTGTCTGAGTTGTCATCCATGATAAACTGCGGCTTGGTATATACACTATACAAATCGGACAAAATTAGTCCGGACTAGTACAAGCAGCCACACACACACACACACACACACACACACACACACAGTAATCTTGGACGCGACTTTAAATCCCATTTCACCTCACCTCATTACATATTGCATCATGCAATCTCAGTCTGTATCAGTCTCAATCTTTGTCTGTACCGCCAAATTAAAAACGTGTATATTCTTATATGTGATGCCATAGATGATGGCAGTATGGTAGTATTTGGTGACGCCAGTGACTCAACCAATGGGCGATCTTTTTCAATTTACCTTCCTTTCCCTAACCCGCAAGGTGCGCTGACCCGTACGGTTCAATCTTAAACCGACAGCGCAACAGCGTAACGCTATACCTTGGCTCCGTCTCTACATATCACAAGTTGTCGCACCGCGCATTGACCTGGGAACCAGGCCGGAAGCGACAGGTTGGACCGTCGCTTATATCATTTCAAAAGGAGAGTTATTGCCCTTTGGAACAAAAGGAACACCCGTTGTGTCGCGTTGTGTTGTGTATATCATGGACATTTGTTAGAAGAGGGTTTCTACTGAAATGGTTTCCCTTCTTCTTGATTTACCAACAGCAATAAACTGAATGTCGATATAATTTAGACTCATGAGGTGAGGTGAGGTGAAATTGGGTTTAACGTCGCGTCCAAGATTATTGCACTTATATAGCGACGTGCATGCACGTGTGTGTGTTTGTGTGGCTGCTTGTACTAGTCCGGACTGATGCCGATTTATAGTGCTAGCTCACTGAGATACCATGCCGCAGTTTAACATGAATACCCCACTCAGACACAGTATACTGACTCCGAGCCGACCAGTCCTTGTTTTAGCCCACACATCTCTATGGCTTCTCTCTTCCCCATAACGACCCACACATCTCTATGGCTTCTCTCTTCCCCAAATATTTCAGCCCTTGCTTCTTCCTTCCCCACCCCGTTAGCCTTTACATCAGACAAGTACATCCTTCACTTACTCTTAGTCCTGTCAACACACTGTAGCTGCTTGAGAAGACTGCAGTAGGGCCTGCCATGCTTGTCTGGAACACAATCAGTTATAAATAACAGTCACCCTCTTTTAACGTTCAAACTCGAGATAGACACGAGACGCTGTTTTCACACAATAAGTGATCGTAAATGGACACTTATAGTGAGACAACGGTTGATACGCAACATGTTTAAAGACAAGGACCAACCCTTAGTTTCAAGTGGTCGTCCCTGCACAGATGAAGGTGAGGTGAATTTGGGTTATACGTGGCGTCCAAGATTATTGCACTTATATAGCGACGTGCATGCACGTGTGTGTGTTTGTGTGGCTGCTTGTACTAGTCCGGACTGATGCCGATTTATAGTGCTAGCTCACTGAGATACCATGCCGCAGTTTAACATGAATACCCCACTCAGACACAGTATACTGACTCCGAGCCGACCAGTCCTTGTTTTAGCCCTTTAATGCCGAGCGCCAGACAGGGCAACAACAAGGACCATCTTTTAACGTCTTTTGGTATGACGCGGCCGGGGATTATTGACAGACCGCCGTTATATAGCTGGAATATTGCTGAGTGCGGCGTGAAAAAAAGCAAACCAACCAATCAACCAACCAACATAAATACAGTGGTAGAATAAAAGGGTATTACGCTGTAGAAAAGAAGCCACACGTTTTTTGGGTATGTCCTAGTTTGTTTCGTTTCTAAGTATTGTCTTTAGAAATGAAGATTATAATTTGCTGAATACACTGTTATCTCTGAAAATGTATATCAATTAAAGAATTCGCACTTTACGAAACACGTCCGGGTAATGCTTTATCTAGATTTCATGCTTTTACATTTTTATACAGGTCAAGTTTTTCAAAGAGAAACTGCAAGGTAATATGTTGGTTTAACAAGGGTCTCCATTGATATTGATTTAGTGACGTTTACTGAAAATAGGATATCACACATTTCCTGCTCAAAGTAATCACACAGGAAGATACGGCTATCGCTTTACCGGGTCTTCTAATGCTGGAGTGGTGTTAAAGCATTGGCATACGTCCATAAGTCCACAATTCTGTTCCATTATAGTTCTCCAGGTATTGATCACTGGCCAACGCCAAATACAGTCTATATTCCTGTAAACCTCTTTACCAGCTTTGTTTCGTTTGCTTATATAAACGATTTCTGCTAATTGAAGTTTACCGACTTTTCTATTTCCTTATTCGTGTGTATATACACTCATTCCCCCAAAAAACATATTTACCAGGGTTCGTCATTACTTGTGTTAGAGCGCCAACAGCACGGTCAAAGTGTATTGACACGGTTAAAATAAGTTCCTGTTGGTTGAAAGGAAGTCTTAGAAATCATATTTGTTGAACAGAAATAATGATTCTCAATGATGCCAGGGATAATTATATGTACTTTCTCCCAAAGAGACTTCATAATTATATGGACTAGGATGAACAAAAGGAAGGTGCCTAATATATTGCACTTCATGATTCATGAAATAAACCAGGGTATTCTGAAATTGTCAGGGTTTAAACAGTCTCAATAAAAAGGAAGTAGGGTAAACTTCTAATTGATGTTTGTTTGTTTTTTAACGCCGCACTCAGCAATATTCAAGGTATATGGCGGCGGTCTGTAAATAATCGAGGCTGGACCAGACAAGCCAGTGATTGACACCATGAGCATCGATCCACGCAATTGGGACCTGATGACATGCATCAACCAAGTCAGCGAGCCTGACCACCCGATCCCGTTAGTCGCCTCTTACGACAAGCACAGTCGCCTTTTGACAACTGCTTGTCAGCCAGCTCATTGTGAAATGGGATTGACTGATTTCAAAGATGTGATAAAAGTATTCCAAAAAGGCACGTGCACATATAATTATTGCCCCATGTCACATTGGAAAACAAATACATTTCTAATGTAGCGTTTTCTGTTATGTCAACGCCTTACCGCATTGATAAAACACGAATACCCTTTCAATTTGACAACTGACAACGTGTCATTATGTCGTTTACCGTACTGGTGAAAAATGAACGGGGAAACTATTTCACAGCGCCATGACATCACTGATTTTCGCTGTGGTTTGGTCAATACGCGTTTTTCTTCCGACAGCGAACTTACGAACTTGCCTCTTATATGAAGCCGTTTTTTTCAAATAAATATGGAAAGTGTATAGATGGGGAAGTTAATTTTCATTTTCAGATTGACATGGTTGTTAGTGATCATTGCCGCCGTGTGTTGGATGGTGTGGAACATCCATGGCCGCCTCGTCTACTACCTCACCTACCCAACCTCCCTTGACACCCAGATCCACTACCAGGATGCTGTGGAGTTTCCCAAGATCACCATCTGTAACCAGAACACCTTCAGGTAAGCCAGTTATGTTCTTGTCATGAACGGTACAAGCCACAACCATGACCTTCACACATCTCACCAAGGAATCGTATCAGAGAAACAAAGATATGCTTCAGTAATACTGGGATAATGTATCGAGCCAGGGCATATATTCCATACTTATACACACTGGATGCACATGTAGGGTAATACAAGAGACCTACCACAAGAAAAGGGATCTTATGGGTGCTAGGATAAAATTGTGCTGTGACGTCATAAAGACGTTTGACGTCAACTTACTTCAGTGAAGATCGTCATATGTGATGTCGTGTATCTCTGTAATAAATATGAGTTGAAGCTTGTGAATTGTATTCTTGCGTTCCGAAGATGCTGTAGTTTTAAAATATAATGAAAAGTCTAAATGTGATGTTTTACCTATAAGGTCCATTATTATCTCATGGTCACATATATTTACTATGTGCAGTTTATTATTGGCTACTGGTTGTCAAACCTAATATTTGAAAGGTAGATTCCATACAAGGGTTGATTGGTAAGTTCTGAGCCACACATTAAAACAACTGCGTTATAGTGAAATATTTTGTTATGGACATTACATGATGCCATGAGTCCCGTGAAGATTATCGCCTCCGTGGTCTAGTGGTAGAGCGTCCGCCCGGAAAGCGTCCCGGCCGCGTCATACCAAAAGACGTTAAAAGATGGTACTTGTTGTTACCCTGTCTGGGGCTTTAACAAGGAATGGTCGGCTCGGAGTCAGTATACTGTGTCTGAGTGGGGTATTCATGTTGAACTGCGGCATGGTATCTCAGTGAGCTAGCACTATAAATCGGCATCAGTCCGGACTAGTACAAGCAGCCACACACACACACACACACGTGCATGCACGTCGCTATATAAGTGCAATAATCTTGGACGCAACGTTAAACCCCATTTCACCTCACCTCACCTCCCGTGAAGATTCCGGGGTGGTGCACGGGGTTGGACTTGGGGTGGGGGTTTGTTATACACTGGATATTGGTCACGTCTTGAAAACGCACAATGCTTCTCAGAAAGGAAGACCCCTAACACAAATCGATATGGCAAAGGAGCGGGCAATGTTGTAATTCCATTCTCACTAGCAATGTATTTACGCTAGGCTTTGCAACCTTGACAGGTCCACTCAAGTGTTTAACGAGACGGATGGTTCCCAAAAATCACCGACACTGTATGAAGCTCTAAACCAGTACCATCGAGTCAGAAGTGGAAACAAGAAATTAAACCAATTGTCTGACAAGTATGATGACCTACTCTCCTCTGCCGGCAGCTTGGATTTCTTGAAGAAAATGGCGCACAAGAAGGAAACACTATTGAAAGGGTGAGTGAGTGACTTACTTCGCTTAATTCTGCTCTCAGACACCTCGCCACGATAAGAACACACTGTGTACCCTTGATAGGAGTCTACTCAGGAAGTTGTGCATGAGAAAAGAACTCGTAACAAAATACCATTTTGCTTTCCTTCATAACAAACTTGGCTCCATTTTGATTTGCCAATTTTTAGAACGCTTCTGGACGTTGTTTGAAGTGTTCACCTACTCATTGTGTTATCATGAGTTACTCATTTTTTGCTAGATGGATGAAAATCGAAAACTTTAGTTTACAGATGAGTCAAATGGTGTATAGAAACCCTGCTTCAAACTCGCCTGGGACCCGTAAAGATCCGGGTTAAAATAGGTCTTCAGCAACCCATGCTTGTCGTAAAAGGCGACTATACTTGTCGTTAGAGGCGTCTAACGGGATCGGGTGGTCAGGCTCGCTGACTTGGTTGATGCATGTCATCGTATTCCAGTTGCGTAGATCGATGGTCATGATGTCAGTCACTGCATTGTCTGGTCCAAATTCGATTATTAACAGACGGCCGTCATATAGCTTGTACTTAGCTGAATGCGGCGTTAAACAACAAACAAATCAAACTCGCCTGGAGTTGAACCAAGCCTCTCCAGTAAAAACGCCGTGTTACCCATTGCTGTGTTGTTCGGTATTTTAACCAGTGACCGGATTAAGAACATGAATACTCCTTGCCTTGACGGTTCTAATGAGGAACATGTTCCTATTGCAGGTGTAAATGGAAGCGTCTGCCCTGTGGACCGGCTAACTTCTCAACAGTGATGACTGACCTTGGTGTATGTTTCCAGTTCAAAGCGGATGACAAGGAGACACCACTCCAAGTGGACACTAGTGGTATGTGTCAGTTATATCGGTATATGGGCAAAGTAGCCTCGAATATCCTGTCTATTTAAATCCATGTTTAACTGTCGGGCAAAAGAAAGTATACACCTGTGTTTGAGGGTGGCTAAAAATGAATCAAACAAGAAATTGTTATTCGATGGTGATTTGATACGGTATTGTGTTTTGGACCTAACGTTTGCAGTATTTCGGCGATTTTTTCAGCCTGGTAACTTTATAATAGCGTTTGTAATTGTTTGGTCAAATCCAATTGTCAAGTGAATACTTTCTTTTGCCTTGATAACATTGGCCCGTTCGCTATCATAGCTTTGTTTTGAACCCGATTCGAACAGCACGACGCTGAAGACGCCATTCATTCAACTCTCATGAGCGAGAGAAAATCTGTGGTAAGTTTGACACTGGAGTGATTCAGGTGATGGCGTCTCTTCTAAAACGAAACAATTGTAGCGAATGGACCCAGTGTATATATACTACTTAAAGTTTGCTGAAGATCAAGTTTTGATGATATTAAAAAATCATCCAACAAATAAAGATCATTATCAGAGAGGACAACATTTGCTTATAAGGATTGCAACAACCGCATGCACTTATGCCCCCTTAACGTCAAAGACGTCGTTTGACGACCGACTACGTAGGCAGATGCATAGGCATGCTTGAAACTGGATCAACACAACGTCGCGTTGCAAACGTATTTTCTGTCAGGCAAATTGTGATCAGCAGGGCATGGAATCGTTACCAGACGGTTGGATCAGCTACCCAGCGACATGTAGATGGTTCCAACAGAGTTCCACCACACAACAGGAAGACAGGTTTCTCCTGATTGCAGCATGACGTCACCACTTCGTGACTGCCACCATACTTAGAAATGACCTCCAGAACGCCAGTGGCGTAAACGTTTATACTCAGACAGTGCGTAAATCGTCTCCGTGAGGCTGGCCATGGAGGGCATGTATTCTCATCCCACTGACCCGAAATCACAGGCAGGCACGTTTTGAGTTGGACCCCGTCAATTGGACAGTACAGGGAAATATCTGTTGTCGGTACACATGCTTTGCAAATCCTTCAATCGACCGATATCTGCACGCCAGTTTATGAACCAGACGTCGATTTCGTTACGCGATTTTGATAAGACTATGTACAGACTTGTAAGTCCAACCAAAATACAACATCATAATACCAGCCAAGTTCGGCAAGGGTGGAGACAAGACTTTTATAGTCAATTAACTCCCTTGCCTCGGGAAGCGTGAGTGAGTGAGTATGGTTTTATGCCGCTTTTAGCAATATTCCAGCAATATCACGGCGGGGCACACCAGAAATGGGCTTCACACATTGTACCCATGTCAGGAATCGAACCAGGGTATTCGGCGTGACGAGCGAACGCTTTAACCATTAGGCTACCCGACCGCCCCTGCCTCGGGAAGGTGCAATGGAGGGGACTCAATCATGATTTGGGGGTGGCATCAGTAGAACTGGAGGAACCGATCTCTATGCTCTACAGACACGGACCACGATGACCGTGAGGTGTGCGCGCTACAGGGATGACATTCTGACCGTGAACGTGAGACCGTATGTTGGTGCGATCGGACCGGACTTCATCCTAATGGACGATAAAGCACGATGTCATTGTGCCAGGATCACTCATCCTTTGGACAATGAAACTTTCGTGATTTTGTTACGGATTTACGGATACTCTCATTTTGACAGGAGATCTGACTAATTATAGGAGGTCGCGTGTTAATTGTTTGTTGGCATGAATGGCATATGACAAAGTGCTTTTGTTAATTAAACATGTCTTTACGCAATATTGTCTTTGCCTATTTCAATAGATGTACACAAATTGACGTATTACCTTTTAAAGTGGTGATCCTTAGCAAACTTTTAGTAGTATGTATAAATTAGTGGATATATAATCAATTACTACATAATCAAATACGTGGATGACAATACTATACATCAATGCATTTAATAGTGAAGGAATCATACATGTTCCCTGTTTCCCTGTACAAATTATTGGCGTTTCAATTTAAACACTTAACGCTTTTCCAGGCCACCAGAGCGGCCTCAGCCTCTCCCTTATGGTTGAACAGTATGACTACATGGGTGAATCACGTGACTCGGCTGGAGCCGTTGTTGTCATTTCCGCTCCCGATGAGACCGAGGCTTTTGCTGATTCCACTGGTTTCGGGGTAACAGTGGGGTTCAGTACAGCTATAGGCCTGAAGAAAACCAGGGTAGGTTCTTCTATATATCTTTAGTTTTGAATTGCAATTGCATGTATACTCAAAACCAAAAGTAACTGTTCTTTCATATTTATCATTCTGGTAGTTGCAGAAACATATAATAATTCCAACCACGTCCAAGACTCAAAGACTACTTGCGCTGAGGATGACAACAATTAGCTTTTTAAGGTTACATAATTTTGTAAAATCAAAATGAAACTCAAGTTCGGACTACAGACTGTAGCATGTATGATTGTTTTTAACACCAATATAGCTTAAAACGGAATCAAACAACCCTGGCTTGTCTTGGTTGGTTGTGTACACAGTCAGAAGACTGATCAATCAAGTCGTACAGTTCATGTCATTATCATGATTATTTTTTGCAATTTCAGTCATCACTATATTGATATGATCATTGTTGTCTTTGAAAACATTTGAATAATGCGATAACCGCAAATGATATTGTAAAACATATTCCTGATACGAACCTTTAATATGCGTGACAGATCTCTTTGAACAGGGGCGGTGGGGTAGCCTAGTGGTTAAAGCGTTCGCTCGTCACGCCCGAGTTCGATTCCCGACATGGGTAAAATCAGTGAAGCCGTGAAATTGCTGGAATATTGCTAAATGCGGCATAAAACCACACTCACTCACACTTTGAACGTTGCGATATCATTGATGCTAATGATCTTGTAAGTATGTGGTCAAATAATGGCAATGCTATAATGTCCTTTATGCTCGGCGGATATATTGACGTCATTCACGTCAACACAACATGTGGGAGGAATGCATGTTAGTACCCTCAAAATATCTCTACAAATGGAGTTAATCCTACCCACCACTCTATGTGTTGTAAATACTGTACATGTGCATCTCACCCTTGAGGATCCGGATTAGAATAGATCTTCAATAACCCACGTAAAAGGCGACTATGTTTGTCATAAGAGGCGTCTAACGGGATCGGGTGGTCAGGCTCGCTTGACTTGGTTGTGGCATGTCATCGTATCCCATTTGCGTAGATCGATGGTCATGATGTCAGTCACTGCATTGTCTGGTCCAGAATCGACTATTAACAGACGGCCGCCATATAGCTGGTGCATAGCTGAGTGCGGCGTTAAACAACAAACAAATCAAACTCGCCTGGAGTTGATCCGAACCAAGCCTCTCCAGTAAAAAAGCTGTCTTACCCATGGCCGTGAAGGTAAAGTGTAAAAAGAGTAAACCGTATCAGAGTTTTACATAAATACAGCTCGCTGACTTGGTTGATGCATGTCATCGTATCCTAATTGCGTAGATGCTCATGATGTCAATGACTGGATTGTCTGGTCGAGACTCGATTATTTACAAACCGCCGTTATATAGCTGAGTGCGGCGTTAAACAACAAACAAACAAACATGTGCATCTGTTGTAACTCCCGATAACGTACTTGAAATTGTAATCTTCAGTATTGGAGGAAATAAATACAATCAATTAATCTTATAGTTTGAGACCAAGAACAAGTCTGTTTGTTTGTTTGTTTGTTGTTTAACGCCGCACTCAGCAATATTCCAGCTATATGACGGCGGTTTGTAAATAAACGAGTCTGAACCAGACAATCCAGTGATTGACATCATAAGCATCGATCCACGCAGTTGGGATACGATGACATGCATCAACCAAGTCAGCGAGCCTGACCACCCGATCCCGTTTGTTGCCTCTTATGACAAGCATGGGTTGCTGAAGACCTATTCTACCCCGGATCTCCAAGAACATGTGCATAAAGCCTTTCGTTGTGGTTTCAGGTCCACGACATGCAGGCGCCTTATGGGACATGCGGGAAGACAACTCTGCATGAATTCCCCGAGGACACAGAGTACACTCCCCTGAGATGTCGGCTAAATTGTCTTACGTCACACATCAGGGAAAAGTGTGACTGTGTGGAACTATACATGCCAAGTTAGACATTGCGTATCATAAACACGTTAATATCTGAGACGTCCCGAGTAGACCTTAATGACCACCACAGTTCTTGTATGATCCTCATGTTATTAACGATTCATGCTTCACCTGTGCGACCGCCTCCGTGGTCTAGTGGTAGAGCGTCCGCCCGGAGAGCGGAAGGTTAGGGGTTAGATCCCCGGCCGCGTCATACCAAAAGACGTTAAAATATGGTACTTGTTGTTACCCTGTCTGGCGCTCGGCATTAAGGGGCTAAAACAAGGACTGGTCGGCTCGGAGTCAATATACTGTGTCTGAGTGGGGTATTCATGGTAAACTGCGGCATGGTATCTCAGTGAGCTAGCACTATAAATCGGCATCAGTCCGGACTAGTACAAGCAGCCACACACACACGTGCATGCACGTCGCTATATAAGTGCAATAATCTTGGACGCCACGTTAAACCCAATTTCACCCCACCTCACCTTCATCTGTGCAGGGACGACCACTTGAAACTAAGGGTTGGTCCTTGTCTTTAAACATGTTGCGTATCAACCATTGTCTCACTATAAGTGTCCATTTACGATCACTTATTGTGTGAAAACAGCGTCTCGTGTCTTTCTCGAGTTTGAACGTTAAAAAAGGGTGACTGTTATTTATAACTGATTGTGTTCCAGACAAGCATGGCAGGCCCTACTGCAGTCTTCTCAAGCAGCTACAGTGTGTTGACAGGACGAAGAGTAAGTGAAGGATGTACTTGTCTGATGTAAAGGCTAACGGGGTGGGGAAGGAAGAAGCCAGGGCTGAAATATTTGGGGAAGAGAGAAGCCATTGAGATGTGTGGGTAGTTATGGGGAAGAGAGAAGCCATTGAGATGTGTGGGTAGTTATGGGGAAGAGAGAAGCCATAGAGATGTGTGGGTCGTTATGGGGAAAAGAGAAGCCATTGAGATGTGTGGGTCGTTATGGGGAGGAGAGAAGCCATTGAGATGTGTTGGTCGTTATGGGGAAGAGAGAAGCCATAGAGATGTGTGGGTCGTTATGGGGAAGAGAGAAGCCTTTCAGATGTGTGGGTCGTTATGGGGAGGAGAGAAGCCATTGAGATGTGTGGTCGTTATGGGGAAGAGAGAAGCCATTGAGATGTGTGGGTCGTTATGGGGAAAAGAGAAACCATTGAGATGTGTGGGTCGTTATGGGGAAGGGAGAAGCCATTGAGATGTGTGGGTAGTGATGGGGAAGAGAGAAGCCTTTCAGATGTGTGGGTCGTTATGGGGAAGAGAGAAGCCATTGAGATGTGTGGGTCGTTATGGGGAGGAGAGAAGCCATTGAGATGTGTGGGTAGTGATGGGGAAGAGGGAAGCCATTGAGATGTGTGGGTAGTTATGGGGAAGAGAGAAGCCATTGAGATGTGTGGGTCGTTATGGGGAAGAGAGAAACCATTGAGATGTGTGGGTCGTTATGGGGAAGAGAGAAGCCACTGATATGTGTGGGTCGTTATGGGGAAGAGAGAAGCCACTGAGATGTGTTGGTCGTTATGGGGAAGAGAGAAGCCATAGAGATGTGTGGGTAGTGATGGGGAAGAGAGAAGCCAACCACTCACTCAGAGGTCACAATCTCGCAAGTCGAACAACGAAAAAATAGCCTGTTTTTTTATCGGATAATGTTTAATTAAACTTTTTTAAATTCGCTCAAATACTGTTTTCGACGTAATAAGCGCTCAGGGCGCTCTCAAAATTAGAAATAGGGGGCTCTTATTAGAATATTATTTTAGTGAAAAAACGAGAGGGTGTATATAACACACGGGTGCGTATTATACGCGAATAAATAAGTCTTTGTACATTGATCAATCGGGGGTGCTAATTGGAATTGTTCACTAGCCAATATATTAGCAAATATCGCCGTGGGCGCATATTACTGTCGAATACGGTATTACGGGTTAACTGTTGTCTTTGGTAGGGACATTCTTCAGTAGCGGGATGACCAAGCACTGCGATTGTCCATTCCCCTGCCAGTCAGAACACTTCTCCAAGATTCTGTCTCAAACTGCCATTTCTCGCCAGTATGCTAACAGGCTGTCCCTGGCAGACGAAGCAATGTCGGAGTTAACACCAAGCTCCCATGAGCAACCATCTCTGACTGACGTTAATGAGGCTCTAAAAGTCCAGATCTGGGGCTTGCTGAACGACCTTGACCCTGCCTACACTGATCTCCTGGCCGTCATGGCTGACAATGTACGCCAGCAGCGCCGGAGGCTGGTAGATCTCGAGCGTTCACTCGTAACGTTTTCAGAAAATGCTGCAACATTGTTCAGTAATGCCAGTGTAGAAGGAGTCGTCAATGACCCGGATGAAAAACTTACCCCAATGATGTATGCGCATTCGATAACCAACTATCTGAAAGAAGTCCCAGGACGACTCATCAAAGGTTCCCACAATGTGTCATTCTGGCCCACAAATGTATTAAATTGGGGTTTGGAAACCACGCTTGCGAATGACGCCGTACAGGAACCAAAGCTACAGTTTAAACGAATAGAATTAATGCGGGGCGTTGTTCAAGTTTACTTTAAACAAATCCGAAAACATCTTGAAGATGTGAACTCCTGGGTGCAGACGATCAACAAGCAGTCACGTGACGGCTCCTCTACGCCGAATACTCTCGGGGGTATGAGTCTCTCTCAGATGCACTACAATGACGTTGTGGGTTACATGAGGAAGATGCTGCGTCTGATTCAGACGTTGGGGACTTACATGGTGCAGTTCAAAAACATGCCGTCAGTCACCCACCTGGTCCACCTTCAACAGCCGCTGTACACCTTTCTACAACCTTCTTTTTATCAGTGAGTTTTTAAATGATTAAATTCATTTTAATTTCTTAAATTTCATCGTCAACACCTCACGGGCTTGTAAATATATAACGTCAACGCCACAGAATAACATGTCTCGATTATCTGCCGATACAGATGCCATTGGGAGTAAAAGGCAAAATAGAGATGCAAATTTATGAATGGATCACTGAAAATCATTGATGATAGCAGGTTCACTCGGTTCCTCCATCACCAGTGATTACATACGGCCGTGTGGTGGTGACGCGTGTCTGTTTTTAGACAGCTAATGCAATGAGGTTGTCCAGACCTCAAATTCAAATGATCCCTACTCCGAGCATAAATGTTGATGCGATCCCTACCATTGACTGATAGTGTAACAGACATGTGCAGAGCTGATATAGATGGTTCCAAGGTTTTTACCAATGTAGCACAGTTTATGGAGCGAAGAAACATTTCCGTTAAATGATGTTACCTGAGCGATAATTGTGCAGGGCACTCGATAACGCCCAGAGCAAGCAGGCCGCGGCATGATTCGTCGATTAAAAATGGCACTACACAATGGAATACTAGAAAGGACATTGTCGCGTTGACGCCCTTACACAAACAAGCAAAGTGTATCATAATCAATCAAAGCGTGACATGCAATAAATGCGAAATTTTTACCATTTGTCGCATTGTTGCGTTACAAATAATATTTCAGCTTTTTACTAAAGCACGACATGCGACAATCTCTTTAAAACTCAAAATATGTCGCATTGTCGCCCAATCTAAAATGCGCGACGAGACATATTGTTATTGTCGCCTCTTCCCATTAGTCTAGTGGTTAAAGCGTTCGCTCGTGACGCCGAAGACCCGGGTTCGATTTCCGACATATATACAATATGTGAAGCCCATTTCTGGTATCCCCTGCCGTGATATTGCTGGCATATTGCTAAAAGCGGCGTAAAACCATACTCACTCACTCACTTTTCCCATTAATGGTGCGCATGTGCAGTATGTGAATTAACCTACGTATGCGTAGAAAAGGTTTCACTCCTTTTCAAACGCCGGTGGTCTTTTATCTTTGACCGTTTCTTCAGAAATTATTTCATATCTCGTTATTGACGGTGTCGTTTTCATAAACCAACGTGTTTTGACAGCAATAAATAAACTCTTTGCATTTCTTTTAATACCGGCCTGAAACAACTATTTAAATCAATGAGAGGTCACGGTTGGCCCAATCGTCTTCGGCGGCGCAGAGTTGCGCCCGCTATGCGTGCAAGAAAATTAGGATCGTGGGTTCGAATCCCAGCACTATACACATTCATCACTTCGGGCTTTCCCCTACACATCAAGCCAAACTCGCTCGCTCATATCGATGAATTCGTTGTTCAGTTCCGCCTCCAAGGCGTGCCAGAAACCTATGGTCGCGGGTTAGAATCCCCGTTTGTCAGCAACAATACTCACTCACTCATGATAGCCCCTTTAACGAACCGACGCTTACATGACTTGGTAAATGACAAACATATTTCACAATATTATTTTTGCGATGTCTGTATATTGAATACATTAAACTCAGATAACCGACGTCCATTTAACCCACTGGCTTAGCTCCTTCTTTTCGGGCGTATAGATGCGCATTTGTAATTGTCGTGACCGATTACGATCCCTGGGCGCATCATCTATCATTATAGATCAAGCTTTGTAAAACTTTTGAAATCAAGCAGGAACTGTTACGTATATAACTACATGTATAAACATTCAAGGGTCATTAGCCAGAATGTGAAATAGAATTGGCCATTGAACTTTTGTCAGAGACAACGTCCTGAACGTGAACATCTACTTCGAGGACCTGAGCGTGGAGGAAAGGGTCAAGTCTGAGGCCTACTCCGTGGAAGGGCTCGTGTGTAAGTACAGGTCGTTTGGTGTATACGTCATAATCAGCAACCCATGCTAGCCCTAAAAGGCCACTATGTTTGTCGTAAGAGGCGACGAATGGGATCGGGTGATCAGGCTCGCTGACTTGGTTGATGCATGTCATCGTATCCCAATTGCGTAGATCGATGCTCATGATGTCAATCACTGGATTATCTTTTCCAGACTCGAATATTTACAGACCACCGTCATATAGCTGGAATATCGCTGAGTGCGGCGTTAAACAAGAAACAAACAAACGTTATATTCAATTTTACATGCCGCAGCGGTCCGTGAGAATTCCTGGTTAGACTAAAATTCCAGCTGGTCCTTAAAGACAGCATTGATAGGGTGTTCAGTCTTGGTAACTATGTTGAATTGCGTGTCATCGTACCCGACGGCGGGCTCATATAACCATTCTTGGTTTGTCTGGTCCAGACTCGATCATTTTCAGGCAGCCGCCATATAGCTGAAATTTGTCTGAGTGTGACATTTAACAAACAAATAAAATATACAACAAGAGAAGAATATTGTAAATGAAGGACGAAGAATGTAGCAAAATATCAAGATTTCATGTGAAAAAATCAAATTAACACCACGACACCCAGAATCATACAATACCAGATTGACGCCCGCAATATCCCACCATTAACCCAAATAAGCTGCACATTGATCAGCTTGCTGTCGGTGCCCATCAATAAGCTATCATTTTCTCGGGACACCCTACTTGGCATAACAGAAAAAAATACATTCATGCGTTCCTCCCTGGGTTTCCCGTCTTCTTATTAAATCAAATAACATCAGTTGTAGTCATTGCCTAAAGTATACAAAACAAGATGTAGTGAAGAAGCAGTCTCTTTCAAATTTCAGGTGACATTGGCGGAAGTATCGGGTTATGCCTGGGCGGAAGTATCCTCACCCTAATTGAGGTCGTTGACCTCATACTCTTCTCAAGGAAGAGGAAGAAAGCTGACTCAGGTATCGTCGCACATTCCTCACAATTAATATCTGTGTAGGTTAGTCATTCTTGACGATCATTTGAGAATTATTATTTGAATAATGCTCCTGAAATGGTGGGTAACTAGAAGCGACTAATATAATTTACATATGGTAACCTAAGCAAGGACGTTCCAGTTTGATGACCATTAGTTAAGATGGGAAGTTTCAAACCATTAAACACCATGAGATCAGATGAATCGGATTATGGGTGCCGTTGTACAAAGCGACCTTAGCGCTAAGGTGACCGTAACTCCCATACCTTAACATAAACTAACGACAGCCGAAGCGCTAAGGTTGTTTTGTACAACGGCACCCTGGTCATGTAATACTTGTTGGCATTTCACTTTGGTCTTTCTGACAAATGTATAACGTGAAAGTCAACCTCTGGCAAAATCACAACACACAAGAAACATTTGATACGCTTCTTCCCGAGGCAAGGGAGTTAACTGACTGAAAAAGTTCAGTTTCCACCCTTGCCGAACAAGGCTGGAATTTCGCGGCTCAATCGTAGCGCCACCAGTGATCTTTTACGAGTTATGTCCTTTCTATTGACCAATCAGATTCTACCTCTCATATTACTTGCATTTGTTTCAAACAAAACGGCGGCGCCCAGTGAAGACGATCTGATCTATATTGTAATAAAACGGATCTTTCTTTGCGAAGTGCATCAAATCACTTGATTAAAGTCATGAAAAGATTTGGAAATTTTCTGTTGACGGCATGTGCGACAGTACACATGCTTTGCAAATCCTGCACGGCAGTTTACGAACCGGATGTCGATTTCGTTGCGCGATTTTGATTGGACTATGCATAGACTCGTTAGTCCAAACAAAAACATAACTCCATAATTATAATTCCAACCTAGTTGGCAAACTGGGCTTATAAAGTCAGTTAACTCCCTTGCCTCGGGAAGATGGTTGATATAAGGCATCAACATGGATCCAAATTAAATGTTGTATGTGGATAAGACTAGTCTTTGTGTTTCAAAATAAAGATGCGGAAAACTTGTTGCAATTTGTGAACCCACATGCTGTTTGCGTGACAATGTGAGACGGCCGCGTTAGCCGGTTTACAAGTCAAGTGCAATTGATGAAATGTCTCCCTCTCAAGTTTGCAGCGAAATTCAAGGCGTGTTACACTTGACGCCTTTGGTAAATAGCCTTCGTGTAAACAATGCATTTCACTATCAACAAAAACACACTTGAGTAAAGTAAATTGATAATGGCTCGTACACGTAACGATGGGCCACATGGATATTTTTACAAAACAAGTACCTTACGGTACGTTACTTTGCGCCGTTCAATAAGATCAACTCTGGACTTGATTTGAGAAAATGCGACATCAACTTGTGAATAAGAACAAATGAGAGTTCGCACTGTTAATGCCCCGGGTATATAACGCTTGTGATAAACTATTAACATACAGGGGCGGTGTGGTAGCCTAGTGGTTAAAGCGTTCGTTCGTGACGCCGAAGACCCGGGTTCGATTCCCGAAACAAGTTGGGATTTAGACTCAGTTGAAGGTGTGGCTCCCGGGGCAGAACTCACAGTCCCTTCACTGTTTATTAATGAATCATTTTATTTCAACCATGCCTTTTTAGGGATGTTTTGGTCATTTTATAGAAAACAAGTTTTGCATTTTGTTACGTCACAACATTTGTCTTTATAAACACAATGTACACATGTACAAATAATTTCAACTAATTTTCTAAAGATTATTTATACTGTCTTTATATCATGTCTAAATACTCCAGCTCTCCTGTTGATGTGGGTAAATACTCCCAACTATTCTAGAAAAATAGTTCTGCCTGTCGGTGTTAGGACAATATTTAGTGTTAATCTCAAACAACAAATGAAGAACAGGGGAGATATATATTGATGACCCAGTCTTGTATTGTATCTTGTACCCCACAGGTACCGTGTGCACATTAAATTCCAATACGAACTCCCTTGTTGACAGATACTATGCCAGGCACCAACATGGAAGGCCTCCCACAGAAGCAGGCTCTATCAGTCATCTAAACCGGCAAGTGCAGGGAGTCCAACTGATGTTGAACTGAGTGAGGTATTGGATGTATTGGGAAATATCTGAGTATTTAATTCTTTGATTGGTATGGTTGAAGTTGTGTTAGGTGATACAAACAATTGTACTACCAAGTTCATTATTTACATTGTTGCCACGTGTCGGTGCCGATACCAGCACTTTTATCAATCTTGCGACTTGCTTGTGCTCTTCTTTATTACGCGTGTGTCCGGTTATGTTGACAAAATATTATATGAAACAAATACTTTTAGATCATGTTTTGTCCGTTCATGTATTGCCGCGCAATAATTTAGTACAATACGATCGTACCGCTGGTGTCACTTGTATTAAAAGACAGAAGCCGAACAAGTTTTTTACAACACTTTTTTCAGAACATCAAGCATGTTAAGCGAACCACTGATTTTCCGTGTGGATCCGAGACATATATTTTCGAGAAAAAAGAACCAGCTCTCCAGCTAAGGGACACAACTCTGCAGTGTAAGCTCCAAGGCATCAGACCGCGGCATCACGTTGTCACTGTCCAGAGATATTGTTTTAATTTGTTGCCCAGTGCCAGTGTAATTGTTGTAATAAATGTTTCAAGCAATCTCTAGATGCATGTCCTTGTCAGAAATTGCTTTTATCAATGACAGTGTCATTTTAGTTCAGGAACTATAACCACAACAATTAACACTCATTTAGGAGATAAACATACTGTGTTTCAGAGATTTCGAACCTATTCACGATACCTGCCACTGTCATTCGACATACACTCTTCAAAACTAAAACCGAAACGCACAGGTAGATTTTTAGGAAATGTATAGTGTACCTAATAAAGTCGATATATTTAATTTAATATCATAGATACAAATATGAAATTTTGGAGCTCGATAGTCATATGTTGTCGTTGTACAAAGGCACTGAAAATTGTTCATTGTCATGTCACATAACGCCACAAGAAGGCACTCAACTCAGTATCTCGTGTGACCGCTCCGGGCAGCAATCACGTCTCTGCATCTCCTCGGCACTGACTGGATAAGTGTACGAATTCTGTCCTGCGGAATTCTGTGCCATTCTGCTTGTAACACGTGTAAGTTGTGGGAGTGTCTGTGGCGTCTTCTGACGTTGAGGTACAAGTCGATCGAGTTCATCCCAGAGGTGATCGATTTGGTTGAGATCTTGAGATCTCGACGGTCAAGGCAAGACGTTGATGTTATTATGAAGATAGTCAACCGTTGCACGAATTGTGTGCGGTGGAGCGTTACCTGCCCTGTTGAAACAGCTCCCTTTGGCGGTCAATGATTGGAAGAAGGTGAGGTTGAAGAAGTTGCTGTCAAATCTCCCTGAACCACAACCAAGTCAGATCTCGTGGTGAAGGATATGTCGCCCGACACCATGACACTACCGCCACCGAATTCGTCGAATTCACATACACAATGTGGGGCAAAACGCTTATTTCGACGACGATAAACACGTTGTCTTCCATCTCGCCGGTGAAGAAGAAATCGTGATTCATCGTTAAACCAGACTCGTCTCCAGTTTCTCAAATTTCAAGGTTGTAAGGTATGGCACCAACGCAAGCGTCGCTTTCGATGGATCTGTTGCAAAACAGGGACGATAACTGGTCTTCTGGGTCGGATTCCAGCCTCGCGAAGATGGTTCCTGACAGTCTGGTCCGATATCCTCCTCAAACCAGGGGTGAGTCCTGCAGTCTCTGAAGCTGTGGCATTGCGATGACATAGGTGGAACAGTCGAATGTAGCGATACTGTGCAGGGGTGGTAACTCTTGGTCGGCCGGTTCTCGGACGGTTTGCAGTGGAATTGAACTGTGTATCGGTCACAAAGGCGGCAAATGGTGCTGTGATGGACGTTGAAGTGGCATGCAACAGAAGACTGGGATTCCCTATTTGGATACGTCCTATGGCGATGTTCCGATCGGCAGCGCTGAGTCTCGGCATTTACAAACTTGAAAAATGTTGACACTTGAATGACAAATTATTGGCTAATGCTTGCCTTTTTAATTCCACTACCACGAGTTACGAATGCCATAACTTGCACGTGCATTTTGCTTTACTGTTTCCCTCCATGCCATTGTTGAACAAGTGTGACAACAACGCCGTTTAAGACATTGCAAATCGACAATGACTGCGTTTTGACGCATCGTTTGTCGAATATCAGACCACCAACATTTTTCAATAACATATATCCAATTTATATACCGGATTTTTAGTGTAGTCAGGTTCAATGAACTACATACTACCTGTGCGTTTCTTTTTTTGAAGAGTGTAGAGCCTCGAAATTGTAAATAATGGAGTCTGGACCAGACAATCCAGTGATTGACATAATGAGCAATTGGGATACGATGAAATGCATCAACCAAGTCACCGAGCCTGACCACCCAGTCCATTTTGTCGCCTCCTACAAACATGAGTTACTGGGGACCTGTAGTCTTTCCGAAACCTCACTGGTTTACTCAGAATACAGAATGAATGCTGCAAGAGTATTGCCATGTCACTACAACCCGGACACAGGAATGACCCCCAATGAGGGGTATCCTAGTGGTTAAAGCGTTCGCTCGTCACGCCAAAGACCCGGGTTCGAATACCAACATGGGTACAATGTGTGAAGCCCATTTCTGGTCTCCCGCCGTGATATTGCTTGAATATTGCTAAAGCGGCTTAAATGCACACTCACTCAACTGACAATGTTATTTATCCCTTTAGCATAAACAACATAATAGAACATACAAAAAATAGGTTTATATAATAATTACAGGTCAACTCTTAACATCCAGTTGGCGTTGTCTGTGTCATGATTCTGCAACAGGCTTGATCAGCAGTAGAAACTCTTCATAGTTAAGTTTTCCGTCACCATTAACGTCTATTGCGCTGATGAGGCGTTCCACTTCACTCATTGGTAGCGGCTCCACACCCTCACCAGCAGCAGATGACAAAGCAAGATGGAGTTCGTCTGCTGTAAGGACGCCATCTTTGTTGACGTCCGCCTTCCTGAACATTCGCCTGATTGTGGCACATCTGAAAAGAGTGAATGAGTTTGTGTTTCTTTACGCCACAGTCAGCAATGGTCAAGCTATTTCAATCTTACCAGGTAAACCAGTTGTTGATATCGATAACACCGGCAACAATATGAGGCAAAGTTCCACAAAGCGATCGTAGCGCTAAGATGATCGTAAGACCCATACTTGGACACAGGCTTACGATAGCTGTAGTGCCGTGATCGCTTTGTGGAACGTGGCACATGGCGAGAGAACAATACTATGTTTTACGCCTATTTTAGCATCCATCATCCCTTTCATGTCGGGGTTTCGAACACAAAATGGTTAGACGTGAAATTGCAAACGTTCGTACTTACCGTTTTTTCTCTTTCTTTATTGGCTGCATGACAGACAGGAACTCGTCTAATGTCACTGTGCCGCTGTTGTCTTTGTCCAGCTCGGTAAATAGTTGCTAAAAATGGAGATTTATTTCAAATCATTCATACTATATCATATCTACTGTTACTTTAATTTGTCGAGAAACCAACAAATTCTCCAATGGGATAAGTTTTTTTTTCAAGGTTTTCATTTTTTTTAAATATTAAAGATTTTAATGTCATTGAAACATCATTGAACTATGTTACAATTTAATGACACTAAAACATTTTACAAAATTATACCGCCGTCATATAGCTTGAATATTGCTGAGTGCGGCGTTAAACAACAAACCAACAACAAAAGTATACGAATAGATATGTTTAAGCAAATGTAGTCAGTTGTATTATGCATGTTCCTCCGTCCAGTGAGTAGGAGATTTAATATGCCAGTTGAACTGCAGCAATGTCCATGATACCAAGGGCAAAACAATGTTTGTTTGTTGTTTAAAACCGCACTCAGCAATATCCCAGCCATATGACGACTGTCTGTATGTAAGTAATCGAGTCAGGACCAGACAATCCAGTGACTGACATCATGAGCATCGACCTATGCAATTGGGATGCGATGACTTGCATCAACCAAGTCAGTGAGTCCGACCACCCGGTCCCGTTAGTCTCCCCGATCTTGCGACAAGCATGGACTGCTGAAGACCAATTCTAACCCGGACCTTCACTGGTATGTTAGTTGGTATCCGAAAGGGAAGTTATGCTCCAACTGTGGTGGTCACCCCGTCAACAAACGTTAACTGTTGTAACAAAGGTTACCAAACATGGCACGGACATTGCTTGTTGTCTGATTGACTGACTTGATGTCGTAGAATTGTATTTAGAGTGAGTGAGTATGGTTTTACGCCGCTTTTAGCAATATTCCAGAAATATCACGGCAGGGGACACCAGAAATGGGCTTTACACGTTGTACCCGTGTCGGGAATCGAAACCCGGGTCTTCAGCATGACGAGCGAACGCTTTAACCACTAGGCTACCCGACCGCCCCAATTGTATTTAGAGTGAGAGAGACTGGTTTTAATGCCGCTTTGAACAGTATTTCACAAATATCAAGGCTTGTGGACTTGATGTGTGAGGGAAGCCCAAGTGATGCTGCTCTAAGACGTTTACCATTTTTGTTAAATCCACTAGCACGGGAATGGTGCTGACAAACCTTGCAAAATAATCAGGGAGAACAGGGATTCGAACTCACGATCAAAGGTTTCCGTCACACCCAACATACGAAATTCATGTCCCTAGATTGTGCTTATAATTTATCTCTCGGTTCATTATGGAAATACCCTCACAGTACACACACAGGCGTGCGTTATGAGATTTCAATCCTTTACATGTTAGTAAACAGGACAAGCTTACCTCGACCTGGGAATCGTCGAAAACAAATCCCAGCTTCACACACAATTCTCCGATCTCCGATTTGCATATGCACCCATCGCCATTAACATCAACATCTTTGAAAACGTCCGTGTACACCTTCCTCTCTTTCGCACTTAGATGTTTCATCGTTGAGGGAAGATTCGAATACGTGAATACGTGACACTCGATAATATCGATCGTTGATACACACTGTCTAAATATACATCCGTACACTTACTACTATATACGCTGTACGTCTGCCGGTCGACTGTGTAAATAGGGGTGTTTCTGCTGGATTCGTTAGACAATAAATGCATTCAATTCATTTTGAGATCCTGTTCGGCTTCAGTGAGGAGTGTAAAGATTCCGTATTTTATTTGGGTCAAAGTGTCGTAGAGGACGCGAGCTGGTTTGTATCACGGGAAAATATGCGTTAACAATACTTAAACTGAACTACCGGAGACTTGCAATGGACTCGCCCAAGGCCGTGCGCATTGCTTAGCACATTTCTCACGAGTTTTCGTGACAAGTCATGCCATGACCTATGACCTCGGGACGACAGAGACTAAGCACTGAGCGAGGCTTGCTAATTACCACTTGGCTTGTCGAAACGGGGAGATATTTCGTTTGGCGATAATACTTCCGTGTGCGGGGTGATGCATTCATTTTGATGATTCAATTGACCATTACTGTCACGCTACAATCCATGTATGAATAAGGACTCATGGGAGATATTTCAGATATATATTAATTAGTCACTAGCAAAGTTAAGTATTTAAAGAACGATAGAATTTGAGTTAATGTGAAACGCGGTAATTAGTGATATGCCTGGCTGTAGATTATCGAGTCTGTCTACTATCTGGTCAGTACCATGAGCAACGAGGCAGGGGACTGAAGACAGACGCACATTCGGGGCATACATTGTGACCAGTCGATTCACATTTTAGTCGACTTTTTTTCACTAGGCTTATAGTACAGTGATATTGGTATACCAGTAATATGGCTCTTGAATCGATCCAGTCACTGTAAGTTAGAAATTTTGTTAAAGCCGTGGTATAATATATATATCACCGTGAGACGTCCTCGATCTCCTTGTCATCTCCTCGTTCACTCTTGTCATCTCCTCATTAATATCCAGTCATTTCCGGTTAATGAGTTAATGACTCGTCAGTCTTCAGTCGCATTGCGTAGAAGTAGCATATTTTAAGCGACCTCTAGAACGCATGAATGAATTTTTTTGTTTCCTCCAGAGTTGAATCCGAAGATCTTACACAGGGAAATACATTATTGACAATACATTATTTACATTCCTTGGCTATATACAAGGGAATCGTGTCATACAGTGCTATGGATACACAGTTTACAATGTGCAAATCGTGAGCAGTAAGGTATAAGTGTCCAGTAGTTATACAAGAGGTATTTCTTCAAATTACATATAACGACAGTATGATGTATTCCCAAGTATCATAAATCAATTTCGTCAGTCAAGTCATGAACATCTGCACCGAGAAACAATGAAAGCATATCATCGTCTTCAAGCATATCTATTTTCACATACCGTATTCGACGTAATAAGCGCTCCGCTCTAATAAGCGCCCACGGCGATATTTGCTAATATATTGGCTAGTGAACAATCCCAATTAGCACCCCTTCCGATTGATCAGTGGACACAAGACTTATTTATTCGTGTATAATACGCACTCGTGTGTAATATGCACCCTCAATTATGGGCAATTAAATTCTGGAAAAAATATATCTGTCATATATAAACACTTCAGGCTGTCAGGATAAACCACGAAATTTATCTTTCATATTTTTTTCACCAAAATAATATTCTAATAAGAGTCCCCTATTTCTAATTTTGAGAGCGCCCTGGGCGCTTATTACGTCGAATACGGTAATAAATGAACGTCCAGATTAACCAGTTAATGAGTTGGCAGAATCGTCGGTATTCAGTAGCGTTGTATAGACGTAGCGTATTTTAACCGACCTCCAGGTGATGTTGGGGGCACGGGTGGCACAGTCGATAAGAACACTTTTGATTATATATCGTCGGAATGAAAATTCAGCGCGGGCGGGAGAAGTGAAACACACAAAAAATACGGGCAGCCTGATATGAGGACAACGTAACAATTATTATTTGAAAGAAAATTGAAAATATTCACTCAAACCTGGCAATGTGTAAAGATCGAGTCGCTTTGCTTTGGAAACGAATTTTTAAGAAAAGTAGCTGAAGAAAGATCAAGCTGACCTGTTTCTTGTAGTGTGCAATTGTAGGAGTGTTTTTTTAAATTTCAGGCGGGGGAAAGTGAGATAAGAAAAAAACATAATTACAATGTATATAATTATCGTAAGAGTGAACATTTAGCACGGGCGGGGTGGGAAACACAGACAAAATACGGACTGCCTAATAAAGGACAACGTGAAAATTATTATTGAAAAAAGAATGAAGATATTTGTTCAAACATTGCGATGTATAACCCCAAGCTATTTCCAACAATTCAACAAAGGTATCTCTAAATGGAACCTAGAAGACGTATCAATGGAGATAAGGTTGATTCGTGTATTTCTTTCTTTGTTACTTACAGTTAGTCAAGGTTACATCTGTACGGAAACATGGCACTGAGAAACTAGATAAGTTGAAATCCATGAGTCGATCATGTCTTTATAAGTATCCATAATCCATTGTTAAAACATTGGATAAGATCCAACTACGAATACTGAAACTAAATCTGGAAGACATTGAATACAGTGAAAAAGGTATCCAATATAAAGTACTCAGTCACTGTACATGAAATATATCACTTAAATATAATTTTAAATAATTTCTATTCTAAAATTAAAGGGCTCGCATATAAGAAAAATACCTAGTATGATGACCTATTATTACCATGTTACGACTTAGTGAATTGACGTGGGGTTTAACGTCGCGTTCACGATTATTGCACTCATATAGCGATGTGCACGTGTGTGTGTGTGTGTGTGTGTGTGTGTGTGCGTGTGTGTAGCTGCTTGTACCAGTGCGAGTATTGTCGGTTTGACAGTGCTAGCACCCTGATCATAAAATACCATACCATTGTTTAACATGGATACCCAACTCAGACACAGTATACTGACTCCGAGCCGACCAGTCCGTGTTTTATCCTTCAATGCCGAACGCCAGGCAGTGTAACAACAAGTACCATATTTTAACGTCAGTTGGTATGACGCACCGGGGATAGAGCCACCGACATTCCGCTCTCCGGGCAGACGCTCTACCACTAGACCACGGACGCATCCCTTGTGTGGGAATCAGGTCTATAGCAAACAAAGTAAGCAGCTGGAGGGTCAGGGGACAGTTACATAATATCAGATTAAGTGTCTCGACAACCCGTGACTTGCATGATCCTGACAGTATCGTGTACATGAATATTCTAGTCCGATCTTTTATGCATGCACGAAGCAGCGAGCAACTTACCTGTGGTCAAATAACAGTGGTGACAGTATCTCACTGCCCTGTGGGAACATTTGCCAACGCTTTTCTGGGTGGGTCCAATGAATAAAAAAATAGTGCCACGGCACTGTAGCTCACCTTCGTATGCAGTTATATCTTCGACATTTAAAACAAAAGACGATTCGTGAAGATCGGGGGTAGAACAGGGCTTCAGCGACCCATGCTTGCTGTAAAAGGCGACTATGCTTGTCGTAAGAGGTTACTAATAGGATCGGGTGATCAGGCTCACTGACATGGTTGACGCATTTCATCGTATCCCAATTACGTGGATCGATGCTCATGATGTCAATCATTGGATTTTCTGGTCCAGACTCGATTATTTACGGATCACCGTCATATAGCTGGAATATTGCTGAAGGCGGCGTTAGACAACAAACAAACACACACTATTTTACATGTCATGGATGTATTGCTATCGAGCCATGGACAATAGCGATGCGTCGATGTTATTTCTCTTTCCAGAGCAGACAGTTGGCGGCGCACCGATCGCTTGATTAGCGGAACAAAATAAACACAATGTAACTCCATTAATATGGAGGTGAAGGTGACTTTATCAATTGAAACCCGATCAATATGACCGCCTCCGTGGTCTAGTGATAGAGCGGAATGTCCGGGGTTCGATCCCCGGCCGCTTCATACCAAAAGACGTTAAAAGATGGTACTGTTGTTACCCTGTCTGGCGCTCGACACTAAAGGGCTAAAACAAGGACTGGTCGTCTCGGAGTCAGTATATTGTGTCTGAGTGGGGTATTCATGTTAAACTGTGGCATGGTATCTCAGTGGGCTAGCACTATAAATCGGCATCAGTCCGGACTAGTACAAGCAGCCACACAAACACACACACGTACATGCACGTCGCTATATAAGTGCAATAATCTTGGACGCGACGTTAAACACAATTTTACCTCACCTCACCCGATCAATAATATAAGTGATGTTTACGAATGGGAAGAGTTGATTGTTACTATTTTCCTGATAAGTAAGTATTGGGAAATGGCCACAAAGCAAGTCCCCTCATGTGGATTGTACAAGTTGTCAATAATGTCGGCGATCACTGGTGTAACAGTAACACACGGTCACCAGCACACACGCAACTGCCGTCGATACAGCAACAGCTAAAGACGATGGAAAACCGGAAACGTCCGTGATCATGTGACGAACACGTGACCACGTGCCGTTGTGAGAACGAGGTTCAATATCCAGGATGTGGCACATGATCTGGTACAAGTCGACGTTGTGAAGCTGGTCGGCTGTAGCACCAGGAACAAAGCCTGCAAGCATTAAGAAATTGATGTTTAGATATAAATAAAACAAATTCTAGTTTATCCAAAGGTTTTCAGCAACCCATGCTTGCCGTAAAAGGCAACTATGATTGGCATAAGAGTGAGTGAGTATGGTTTTACGCCGCTTTTAGCAATATTCCAGCAATATCACGGCGGGGGACACCAGAAATGGGCTTCACACATTGTACCCATGTCGGGAATCGAACCCGGGTCTTCGGCGTGACGAGCTAACGCTTTAACCACTAGGCTACCCGACCGCCCGATTGGCATAAGAGGCGACTAACGGGATCGGTTGGTCAGGCTCGCTTACTTGGTTGATACATGTCATCGTATCTCAATTGTGTGGATCGATGCTCATGATGTCAATCACTGCATTGTCTGGCCCCGACTCGATTATTTACAGACCGCCGTCATATAGCTGGAATATTGCTTAGTGCGACGTTAAACAACAAACAAACAAAACTGTACATGTTTCGATTTGAAAATTTGATAATTGAAATATTTAAAAAAAAGATATATCAAGTGAATACGAAACAAGACCTACTTGGTCCAAATGCTGTGAAGATCCCTCTCATCTCCGAATGTACAGGGTCGTATCCGTGCTCTGCCTTGATGGGGCCCGTATCATAGTTGAAGAAACCAAAGTTTGGCTGAAAAACATATTGCCACATATCAATAAATATGGCAAGATCGAGTGTAATAATTTTCTGATATGTGCACAGGTGCATTTGACATTCTCAATGCTGATAGGTCAGTAGAAGCAATATGATATGACGCCATCCATTGTTCCTGACGCCAACAAATTGATAACATTACGTGATTTGAACAATAGGTCGACCTCAGTGAAATATCTGTAGGATAGACACTCTTTCTTAAAATGACAATGCGTAATATAAAGAATAATCTACAATGATACACATTGTGACATATCGTATATCCTTATCAAGACAATTTGTGAGAGGAGTTAATTACTGAGGGCTTCTCACCTCTGCGCAAGAAATACATAGGTGTAATAATGTTATACACCTGGGAACTCTCATGTGTGCTAAAGGCCTGACTTTATGTTGTTGAAAACTTAAGAAGTCGTATAATATAATATCTTGCCTCCTCACGAAGCTATCATAGCTCTACTTTAACTTAGCTTGTAAAATAATCGTAGCTTTTGCATATTAACAGAAATTAATGTGTTCATCAACTACCAAGGAAGTATTGACATGTTTTTTTACATCACATTCTACAATTAACTCCTCTCGACCCGTGAAAATCCGGGTAAGAATTGATCTTAAGCAACCCATGCTTGCCGTAAGGGGCGACTAACGGGATCGGGTGGTCAGGCTCGCTGACTTTGTTGATGCATGTCATCGCATCCCAATTGCGTAGATCGATGCTCATGATGTCGATTACTTGTCTGATCACTGGATTGTCTGGCCCAGACTCGATTATTTACAGACCGCCGTCATACAGCTGGAATATAAACAAGAAACAAACAAACAAACAAAATTTACTCCACTTATCTCAGTGATATTGCGGAATTTGCTTCCAAGACGATTGTGTCAATATCTCGCAAGCCGGAAGTGCCTACCGTTTCAATGTACCATCCGATTTTAGGAACCAATATCAATGGTGGAATTCGTTTGTGATTTTTGAAGCGCCATCTGTCGGGAATGTCGTCCTTCAGGAAGGCTGTGAAGTGAGGACTGTAGTCTTTCAAGGCGTCGTACACCTACGCGGTGTATTAAACAGTATAACTCAAGTCGTAGTAGTCACAAGCGTGCAATGTCTGGTTGTAATTCTTTCATATTACTAAACACGTAGTTATGGCATGAAGGATTAACTATAGTAATATAAAGGAATCGTTTTTTAACTTCTTTTGAGTAGTATGTTAACATAATGTGAGTGAGTGAGTTTAACGCCGCTTTTAACAGTATTCCAGTTATATCACGGCGTGTCAGCTTAATGTGGGAGGAAAGCCCAAAGTGATACAGGTCTTAGACGTTTACCACATCGATTAAACCCACGAGCACGGGTATGGTGCTGACAAACCTGGAAACATAATCGGGGTGAACCGGTATTCGAACCCACAATCATAGGTTTCTGGCGTGCCCAAGGGACGCAACTTTGCACAGCGAATCGCGACGCCTTAGAAGACTGGACCCCCGTGCCCCTATTCGAATGACCAAGAAGAGTTTAAATAGCGCCCCAGAACGAGCCTTGCTGAATGTATTCAGTTTTGTCTCCTGATGCTCTTCCCCATTCCAGGTACTCACTTCTTGTAGACAATCTTCTTTTGACCATATGTACACTTGAGAACCATATCCATTGACAATGGCGTCGACACATGACATCGGCATGACGTCACTCACGTTGACAACACGTGACGGAGATACGCTGGTCATTCCATGGTCAGAGAATATCATCACATCAACTTCGTTTTCCAATCCAGTTTCAGCAAACTTCGTGAGCATTCGAGAAAATTCTTCATCTACTTCGAGAATTGCCGAATTCAGCTTGCTTGAATTGGGGCCGTATCTATGTCCATGGTCGTCAATTTTCTCGTGATATACAGCTAAACATCAACATTACATATATATAAACAAAATTAAACACCAACACTGCAGGAGAATAATAGGAGGACATTTTGTTGTTAGTTCAAGACAAAAATAGAGTAGCGAGTGGATAGATGTTTTACGCTAAATCAGCAACTATTCAAGACAGCTATATCACAGCGGCCTACTAAAAATCCAGTCTGGTCCAGTCAAAGTTGTGGTTCATAATGAGGAACGTCCCACGCCGTCGGTAAACGATGATGCAAAGTCAACGAATCTGACCAATGCATCCCATTAAGACACAGCAAGCATTGGTCACCTGGGGCAGATTCCACGCCATCATCATCTACAGGGACAACATGGTAATAATGAAAGGTAGTCGGTAATATCAATTGATACGACCCTGACATCACAATCCGGTAGCTCTGACTGGACCTGGAAGGTATTGGTGAGTGAGTGAGTGAGTTAAGTTTAACGCCGCTTCGAACTCTAATCCAGTCATATCACGGCGGGTCAGCTTGGTGTGGGAGGAAAGCCCGAAATCGTGCACATTTTTACTGATCATACGTTTAAAACCCTGATTCAACAATATTGTGATCCTTGGCCATTCCCCTGTTTTTGTGTTTCGCAAAAGCAAATATAATTATTTAAATGGACCACCTAAAATCAGTGATGACATTTACGTCTATCACCACCATCGACCCGTGAATATCCGGTTAGAGAATAGATCTTCAGCAGCCCATGCTTGTCGTAAGAGGCCACTAACGGGATCGGGCGGTCTGGCTCGCTGACTTGGTTGATGCATGTCATCGTATCCCAATTGCGTGGATGGATTCTCATGAGTCAATCACTGGAATATCTGGTCCAGACTCGATTATTTACAGACCGCCGTCATATAGCTGCAATATTGCTGAGTGCGGCGTTAAACAAGACAAAACATATCACCACCATCACGTCTTTCTTCCTTCAACAGAAACCTGACAGCATGTGACTTTAACCGAACACAGTTCAAGGCGGTGTTAGCTCTGCACTCACTCACGCAGCTTAATCAGTACGACACAGTAACACCAAAATAATAGTGTTTATGAATTCCTCCAGAAATTAGACAAATGGGCACCAAGCCAATATGAGGACTACCGTACGTCCGACGACAAACTCGCCGTATGTTATACATCCGGGTAAGCGGTTACCTGCCAGATCTGTACTGTCGTTGAGAAACAGCTGCAGACTCTCGTCAAGGTCACGTTGAAGGTCAGCGATGGATGGGAGACCGTTATGTTCAACGCAGTACGTTGGTTGTCTCCCTTGAATCAGGACCTCGCATCCGAACCAGTGAAACATGTGTACCCTCTTGTTCTTGTAAACACAAAATGTAAACAGTTATATAAACTGCAGGTCAAAAGAAAGTATGCACCCTTGTTTGATGGTGGCTAAAAATGAAATCAATTCGATTGTTATGTATTTGATATAGTTATCATTGTGTTTTTGACTATGAGTTTTTCGGCGACTGTTTTCAGCCTGGTAACGTTTTGATAATATTTGTAATTTTGTGGACAAATCCAATTTTCAAGTGTTTACTTTCCTTTGCCCTGCAGTTTATTATACACAGTCAGATCAAAGAAACCCCGATAATAAAAGTGAATTTTCTATTCTACATACAAATCGCATAGCAACTGGTATGTGCATACGGCATCTAATATATACCACTCAACTTTTGATAGGGATAATCAGATATGAAAATGGAGTGGTATATATTCTTCCATCAATTTTGTCTCAATCCGGTACAAAATATACTAGTTCATGTTTAGTATGTTTGATATTATAACAAGGGTTTCCGTTTCATTTACTATTATCCTGTCTCATCTTAAACATGGGCGTTCTCGATTTTCTTTCAATTCATTGTATCTTGATGTATCACAGACACCCTTATAAAACAAGTCATGTGTGTTGGACCCGTGAAGGCCCGTGTTAGAATTGGTCTCCAGCAACCCACGATTGTCTTAAAAGGCGGCTATACTTGTCGTAAGAGGCGACTAACGGGACCGGGTGGTCAGGCTCGCTGAATTTGCTGCTGCATGTCATCGTATCCCAAATGTGTAGATCGATGCTCTTGGTGTCAATCCCTGGATTGTCTAGTCCAGGCACTACTGTTTACAGACTACCTACATATAGCCGGAATATTGCTGAGTGCGGCGTTAAACAAGAAACAAAAAAAAACCAAAAAAAAAACCAGTCGTGTGTAGAGACATTTTCAACTCTTGTTCATTTCGCATGATACCCTCAATGCCCCCCTCTTCGTTTCTCTTTCGCCGTTTTCTAACCCCTATGCTTCAAACATTTATTGCTTATCCAATCTAGAATCGCTAGAAACGCTATATATAGTTTGCTTTGCTTTTGTATCTGAGTACATTTAGTACCGTACGTCCTTTAATTTATGCTGTTTTGGGTCCCGTCAACATTAGCTCATTTCTTATAAGACCAATATACCACCAATCTATTAAGATAAATACCTTGGGCCCTTTCGCCACCATACCTTCGTTTCTGATGTGACGTCATTATCTCCATTTGATTTTCACTAAATTAGCACATAACTTCAATTGACTTGCCTTTGCATGCGTTTATGACGAGTGCCACTGACGTGGCGGGATATGCATACCTTTTTACGAACACTTGACATCATCACTATTTGATCATGATTCTTGAAGACATGCTCATGATATTTTCGCAATCGCACAATGGACTCTGCGTTTAGTTTAGATTTCTCATGTATATGTTTTAGCGTCGTGTTATTCGAATCAGACATAAAAAAAAGAAGCGAATGGGTCCAGGGTATTTAATATCAATAGATTGGAGTATAATACCCTGGATAATCGAGGATGAGAGTGCTGACCTGTCTGACGGCGCTGACCCACAGTGGTTCTGCCTCAGCGTACATGAAGGATCTGTCTTCCGGTGTAAGCTCTTTGTACCAAGGGGAATAGTACTTCCCGGTAGTGACGTCATACCACTCATTGCCAACAAAGCCGTGAGACTCCACGTATAGGCCTGTAACGAAATATTGATAAACATTTCATATAACAGTAACTGACGAAGCGTTACTAGGGTATCAATCATCGCTATGAAGCCGGTCTCACCAAGATTCATTTTCTGGCTGTCTTCACGCGGTGAAATCTTTGTCATGTGTAGAGTCTGTTTGCGGTATATTATGATGAATCTATTTATATCCGATACTCATGTTCGAGTTGTACTTCGTTTTAAAGCCCTGTATTTCAGCATATCTCATACGTACATGTATATGGTACTTGGTAACGTAATTAAGATATTCATAAAATATTACCTAAAATCAAACTCTTGGCCTTGCGGAATACTCGTTTAGAAAATCACGAATTCATTCTTTAAATACGACTGCCATATAAAAAATGACAATTAACTATATAGGTTTACTCATACACTTCAGCAGACTCGATTATTTACAGACCGCCGTCATATAGCTGGAATATTGCAGTGTGCGGCGTTAAACAACAAACAAACAAACACTTCAGTTGAAAGTCATGCGTCAGATGTTCTCTTTGATGAGGATAAAATCATCTCTCAGGGTCGCGTCTCAGTTAAGATTAAGTTGAGTGTAGACTCACCTGTTAACTATATTTACTGGTTAGTTAGACTCACCTGTTAACTATATATACTGGTTAGTTAGACTCTTCCGTTAACTATATATACTGGTTAGTTAGACACACCCGTTAACTAGATATACTGGTTAGTTAGACTCACCCGTTAACTATATATACTGGTTAGTTACACTCACCCGTTAACTAGATATACTGGTTAGTTAGACTCACCCGTTAACTAGATATACTGGTTAGTTAGACTCACCTGTTTACGAGCTCGTAAACACCCCTTATTTACCCCAATATCCCAAAGAATAACAAACTACCTAAATGAACACCAAATTAAAAATCTTAAACAAAACTGCAAACAATCAAATATCTTTACCCCTAAACTTAAAATACCCAAAATAGACACAACACTAGCTAGCCAAATAAATAAACAAACCGACCCAAACATAGCTAAAACTACCACACTAGCATACATACACGAAAATTGGCCAAATTGGTGTCACATTTACACGGACGGATCCTCAGATCCGACCTCCAAACACACAGGTTTCGGAGTCCATACCACACAACCAACTAAAACCACAAAATCCTTCCGACTCCCAAACAACCAATCAATATTCACGGCAGAACTAATGGGCATGGCCTCAGCCCTCCATAAACAAGAATCCAAAAAACACAAAAAAATCCTAATACTTACCGACTCCCTAAGTGGACTGCAAGCCCTCCAAAACAAAAATACCAAAAACCGACCTAAATTAATAAATCAAATACTTAAAAGCTCTAACGACCTAACTAAGGCAGGCAAACAAATAACCTTCTTGTGGATACCCGCCCACGTAGGAATATACGGTAATGAAAACGCCGATAAAGCAGCTAAACTATCCCTCAAAATCCCAGAAATAAGCTTAAACTTACCCATCTCAAAATCAGAAATTAAAAGTGTAAACAAGCAAAAAATCACAAAAAATGGCATAACCTATATCTAAACTCAAATAGCCAAATCAAAAAAGTGCTCAGCAAACCACTAACCAAACCAAAAATTCTCCATCCATCCAAAAAAATCGACAGAGTAATCACTAAACTCCAAACAGGACACACCAACCTAAATAACCACCTAAAAAAAATTAAAAAACACACTACAGGTAACTGCCAACACTGCAAAGAACCAGAAACCCCAGAACACACACTCATCCACTGCACACACTACCTAACACATCGAACCGCATTACAAACCACCCTCAATCTGAACAAGGCTCTAACTCTAGAAGCAATACTAAACCCACAAAATAAACTAGAAAACTTCAAGGCCTTAGGCGTATTCTTAATAAAAACGAAACTAATAAAACGCATCTAAAAACACAATAACCTACCAAATCAAAATCACATAAACAAACAAACATCCACCATACCCAGCTCCCTTAGTTCTCCTCCCCAATCCCATCGGCATCTATTCCAAATCTCAGAATTCCCAAATTCTATATAAGCAACCCCTAAAACCCCCCTCTTGGGTTGCACAGACCACCTTCTCCCCTTTCGGAAACACATTAAATGGCCTGGCCGGGCCCGTGTGCGAAATACGCATCAGTCGGAAAGCGCACGTTAAATCTCCAAAGTAAGTAAGTAAGTACTCACCTGTTAACAGTGTGTAGTGGTTAGGATAAGACACGGAAGGAAAGGCCGGTGTTAGTCCCCTTGCCCTAACGCCCTGATGAAATATCTTCTCAAAAGCTGGAAGCTGTAATCCTAGATCAAAGTAGTCCCAGCGGAACCCATCCAGCATAATCAGGAGTAACTTGCCGGAAGTTGTCACCTCAACGACGGATGTCAAGAGTAAGAGCGCGAAAACAATCTTCATCTTTTGACCTGAAGTAAGAAGCATAACCGATTTAGTATTATCATTCATACAGAGAAAACCTTAGAATATATTAGTTTAATAACAGAAATCGTGGTTAGACCACAACATATTGTTGGTATGGTTCTTTGGATTTATTTGAAAAATGGTCATCGAATAACTATGTTCATAAAACAGTAAATGTCAACACGGAGTCATATATTTGGCAAATATTTACAAAGAAACAAAATAACATAACCAGGGTAACTGATACACACATGTACACAGAAAGTCAACAAGGTAGATATGTTGGACCTAACAGTTATCATAAGATTTAACGACACTAGACACCTAGCTTGTTTTGTTTATATTGACCTGGGTGCCGTTGTACAAAGCGATCTTAGCGCTAAGGTGATCGTAACTCCCATACCTTAACACAGACTTACGACAGTCGAAGGGCTAAGGTTTTGTACAACAGCAACCTGTGTACTTCAGCCTACTTTGTTGGTTTGTTGTTTAACGACGCACTCAGAAATATTCCAGCTTTATGACGGCGGTCTCTAAATAATCGAGTCTGGACCAGATAATCCAGTGATTGACATCACGATCATCGATCTACGCAATTGGGATCGATTACATTCATCAACCAAGTCAGCGAGCCTGACCACCCGATCCCGTTAGTCGCCTTACGACAAGCATGGTCGCCTGTTACGACAAGCATGGGTTGCTGAAGATCTAGACCTATTCTACCCCGGATCTTCACGCGTCTGCACAAGTTGGAATGTATGATGTTTATTCGTTATATGTACGTGGTTTGGCTGAAACTTATTGATCCTAACTACGAAGGTTGTATAGAACGCCCTTAACAGGTTGCAGGTATACTCAGCGTCATTATTAAAGCCTCACCTATGTATTAAAGGGTGTCAAAATGAGCATATGCCAACAATCGTCAATAGGTTTTGAGAATGTGATTAACATGTATGTGAAGTATGTGAAGAACATGTATGTGAAGCATGTGAAGAACATGTATGTGAAGCATGTGAAGAACATGTATGTGAAGTATGTGAAGAACATGTATGTGAAGCATGTGAAGAACATGTATGTGAAGTATGTGAAGAATATGTATGTGAAGTATGTGAAGAACATGTATGTGAAGTATGTGAAGAACATGTATGTGAAGTATGTGAAGAATATGTATGTGAAGTATGTGAAGAACATGTATGTGAAGTATGTGAAGAACATGTATGTGAAGAACATGTATGTGAAGTATGTGAAGAATATGTATGTGAAGCATGTGAAGAACATGTATGTGAAGCATGTGAAGAACATGTATGTGAAGCATGTGAAGAACATGTATGTGAAGTATGTGAAGAACATGTATGTGAAGAACATGAATGTGAAGTATGTGAAGAATATGTATGTGAAGTATGTGAATAACATGTATGTGAAGTATGTGAAGAACATGTATGTGAAGTATATGAAGAACATGTATGTGAAGTATGTGAAGAACATGTATGTGAAGAACATGAATGTGAAGTATGTGAAGAATATGTATGTGAAGTATGTGAATAACATGTATGTGAAGTATGTGAAGAACATGTATGTGAAGCATGACTGTGAAGAACATGTTTGTGAAGCATGTGAAGAACATGCATGTGAAGTATGTGAAGAACATGTGTGTGAAGTATGTGAAGAACATGTATGTGAAGCATGTGAAGAACATGTATGTGAAGTATGTGAAGAACATGTATGTGAAGTATGTGAAGAACATGAATGTGAAGCATGTGAAGAAAATGTATGTGAAGTATGTGAAGAACATGTATGTGAAGCATGTGAAGAACATGTATGTGAAGTATGTGAAGAACATGTATGTGAAGTATGTGAAGTACATGTATGTGAAGTATGTGAAGAACATGAATGTGAAGCATGTGAAGAACATGTATGTGAAGTATGTGAAGAACATGTATGTGAAGTATGTGAAGAACATGTATGTGAAGCATGTGAAGAACATGTATGCGAAGTATGTGAAGAACATGTATGTGAAGTATGTAAAGAACATGTATGTGAAGTATGTGAAGAACATGTATGTGAAGTATGTGAAGAATATGAATCTGAAGTATGTGAAGAATATGTATGTGAAGTATGTGAAGAACATGTATGTGAAGTATGTGAAGAACATGTATGCGAAGTATGTGAAGAACATGTATGTGAAGCATGTGAAGAACATGTATGTGAAGTATGTGAAGAACATGTATGTGAAGTATGTGAAGAACATGTATGTGAAGTATGTGAAGAACATGTATGTGAAGAACATGTATGTGAAGCATGTGAAGAACATGTATGTGAAGTATATGAAGAACATATATGCGAAGTATGTGAAGAACATGTATGTGAAGAACATGAATGTGAAGTATGTGAAGAATATGTATGTGAAGTATGTGAATAACATGTATGTGAAGTAAGTGAAGAACATGTATGTGAAGCATGACTGTGAAGAACATGTTTGTGAAGCATGTGAAGAACATGCATGTGAAGTATGTGAAGAATATGTATGTGAAGTATGTGAAGAATATGTATTTGAAGTATGTGAAGAACATGTATGTGAAGTATGTGAAGAACATGTATGCGAAGTATGTGAAGAATATGTATTTGAAGTATGTGAAGAACATGTATGTGAAGTCTGTGAAGAATATGTATGTGAAGTATGTGAAGAACATGTATGTGAAGTATGTGAAGAACATGTATGTGAAGTATGTGAAGTATGTGAAAAACATGTATGTGAAGCATGTGAAGAACATGTATGTGAAGTATGTGAAGAACATGTATGTGAAGTATGTGAAGAACATGAATGTGAAGTATGTGAAGAACATGTATGTGAAGCATGTGAAGAACATGTATGTGAAGTATGTGAAGGACATGTATGTGAAGTATGTGAAGAACATGTATGTGAAGTATGTGAAGAACATGTATGCGAAGTATGTGAAGAACATGTATGTGAAGCATGTGAAGAACATGTATGTGAAGTATGTAAAGAACATGTATGTGAAGTATGTGAAGAACATGTATGTGAAGTATGTGAAGAACATGTATGTGAAGTATGTGAAAAACATGTATGTGAAGTATGTGAAGAATATGTATGTGAAGTATGTGAAGAACATGTATGTGAAGTATGTGAAGAACATGTATGTGAAGCATGTGAAGAACATGTATGTGAAGTATGTGAAGAACACGTATGTGAAGTATGTGAAGAACATGTATGTGAAGCATGTGAAGAACATGTATGTGAAGTATGTGAAGAACATATATGCGAAGTATGTGAAGAACATGTATGTGAAGTATGTGAAGAACATGTATGTGAAGTATGTGAAGAACATGTATGTGAAGTATGTGAAGAACATGTATGTGAAGTATGTGAAGAATATGAATGTGAAGTATGTGAAGAATATGTATGTGAAGCATGTGAAGAATATGTATGTGAAGTATGTGAAGAATATGAATGTGAAGTATGTGAAGAACATGTATGTGAAGCATGTGAAGAACATGTATGTGAAGTATGTGAAGAACATGTATGTGAAGTATGTGAAGAATATGAATGTGAAGTATGTGAAGAATATGTATGTGAAGCATGTGAAGAATATGTATGTGAAGTATGTGAAGAATATGAATGTGAAGTATGTGAAGAACATGTATGTGAAGCATGTGAAGAACATGTATGTGAAGTATGTGAAGAATATGAATTTGAAGTATGTGAAGAATATGAATGTGAAGTATGTGAAGAACATGTATGTGAAGTATGTGAAGAACATGTATGTGAAGTATGTGAAGAACATGTATGTGAAGTATGTGAAGAACATGTATGTGAAGTATGTGAAGAACATGTATGTGAAGTATGTAAAGAACATGTATGTGAAGCATGTGAAGAGCATGTGAAGAACATGTTGTTTGTGCCTTGTGTAACACTGGTTGGATGCTTTTATGAACCTGGATCCGGAAAAATGGACAACGACTATTAAAAACAATGGAAAGTGCCAGATTGAAGATGATGGAAAAAGCTACCCCAAAACACTCGCCTGAACGCAACCAGTGGTTCAGTCCATGCACAATACATGACAAGTAACGTCAATGTGGCATACAATGGTTCATTCCAGATGTAAATGAACTGCACTTTTAGAAGCTGAATACTTTTATCTTGTATTATATGCGTGACCCTTAAAAATAACGCTGAGTATGTATTAGGCTACATTTTACCCAAATACACAAGCAGGCTGCATATTTCTGCAGACATCAAAGTAACTGAGTATTCTCAACGTAATTTACCAATCTTTTGAAACTGCATATATCATTGAAGCCAACAAAGATATCTTACTCCTATAAGTAATTGACTTGTAGCCCTTTTAAACTTGTAAATGTGTTCTTTCGACAGTCTGACCAAATTTGGTAATAACTGCATCCGTAAACTAGTCTGGGCTCATGGTGGGGTGAAGAGGGGTTTAACGTCGCGTCAAAGATAAATGCACTTATATAACTCTATAACAAGTACCATATTTCAACGTCTTTTGGTATGACGCGACCCTAATAAAACAAGTCATTTGTGTCTTGGACCCGTGAAGGTCCGGGTTAGAATCGGTCTTTAGCAACCCTGTCGTAAGAGGTGACTAACGGGATCGGGTGGTCAGGTTCGCTGACTTAGTTGATGCATGTCATCGTATACCAATTGCGTAGATCGATGCTCATGATGTCAATCACTGGTCCAGACTCGATTATTCACATACCTCCGTCATGTAGCTTGAATATAGCCGAGTGCGGCGTTAAACAACAAACAAACAAACAGAAAATGAATTGAAACGGATCTACGACTTGAGGATTGAACGCTTCAACCCTACACACGGAAAAAGTGACTGGATGATATAAAACTGCTAAGGACACCAATACAAGGTGAATACAGCGGTTATGTCACCACCCATGTATCATTATGGGTACATCAACATTATCGCTTGGCATGGGTGTCTACAA